GCCAGATTGTATTGCACTTGTACATGTTATAAAAAAAACAATAATATAAAAATAACTCCAATACAAGTTCAGGTTGAATATTTTTAGGGCTATATTGGTAGGGTAGTGCATGCCTGGGCGTCCCCCGTTGCATCAATCGAGGTGTTGTGTATAGGTGGCCGGAACCATATCATATATATCGTATCATGCCTGACGACTATGATATACTTACACCGGACAGAGGGGTTCTTATCGCAACCCCAATATACTATCATAACAAGAACCCAAACTTGATGAACACATTTTCCATAACCCTCCCTCCCCTCAGGAGGGCCAGTGCTTTCACATCTCGTTTTTATTAATTTTTTCCTCTTTCCAAACATGCATTCCCAATATAATATGCAGTGATGATGACGATGACGATGACGATTCCTTGCACCTTCTATCATACCGTAGTGCACGCGCAGCGGCCGCTATAGCCCTCCCCACAAAAACTCCTTATGATGTGTTATTTTATTTTGGGATTAAATGGTTATAAAATGTTTGACGTGTCTGTGGGGTTCAGAGTCGAGAGCTGGTGGCCCGTGAGAGGAATTGTGCAGATAGCCGGCCCCGCCCCCCCCACCACCTTAGGGTGATGCCCAATACATAGTGTAAACATTTTTTTAATTTTTTATTTGGTGATCTTTAGCCGGTTGTGTTGGGAAGTTTAAAGTTCCAGACAGAGCTGATTCACAGACCGCTCGGTGAGTACTGTGCACAAGATTTCTAACCCGACCGAAACCTGCACTGCTCGTGTTCCCGCCCCGGGGCATGGGCCACCCCTTGGGAGACGTGATTGGGGACCGGGAAGGGGCCTCAATTGTATGATATCACCAGTGGGGTTCGAAGGTGGGTTGATAGGCTCTTATAAGTGGTGTTTATCCTTAGAGGCCATTTTCCAACGGCGTCAGTTGATGTTTGCATATCACTTCCCCCACGGCCTGCGCTGGTGCCCAACCTTGGGGCTCTGTGTTCACTTGCACGGGGAGATCGTGATGTTTCAGGAATAGTATTGTTTTGTTATCCCTTGTTCCACCTCAAGGCTGACGGGCACACTCTTTGTCTCCGTACCTTACCCTTGTGACCTCCATGTAACACCCCCCTTGAGCACCAGAATCGCTGACAAATGGGGAAAATGGGCTTCAACATGGCATGGCCCAACTTAGTTACTGAGTTAATTCCCTAGGGAGAATATCACTCTTGGGGAAGGGGGGGGAGGAAGCTGCGGATAGGATGCAAGGTCGCAAGAACCAAAAGAAAGAAATTAGACAAAATGATAACTGGAACAAATAGCGGGGTAACTCGAATGCTAAGTTGTTAGAAGTGCCGAGTTGCTGCTTGTTCAATAAATTCACTGGACCCTTAACCGAGTGCTAAGTGATGAAGCCGCGCTACGTCGCGCTTGCGTTCTTTTTTTTATCAGGTACCATGGGTCCTATATAAGGGAACAGATCGTATCGGTAATGGCCTCTGGCTAGTGCAGCTCTCAATGAAAGATGGTCCGGTTTTATCTCTTACAAATCAATGCTGGAGACGCTGTTATTATCTATAGGCAGTTTCCTGGATGATAGTGCTGTCAGGGCAACTGGGGCGCGATCCAATCGCGGACTTTGACCGCCTACCGGACCTAAAGCACGGGAATTCTAGGCTCCGAAAACTGATAACTCTTCTGGGTTTGCCGCTGCATAAGGGATGTTGCCTTGTGTCGGTGTTAGGCCATTAGGCGTTGAAACCTAACCCTTAGGAATTAATAGGCTCGGGTATCTTTGGATGCTCCGATACCACTGGAGGGGGCTCAATGACAATAGGATGCGTAAGGCTTCCTGCGCAGGCAACCAGCATAAATCACCCGTACACTTGGGTCCGAACTTTGAATAGGGCGCTCAGATCTGCGCAGACGATTTTCCATACAAATTTACAATCCCCACCTTTAGGTCCCTCACGCCTACTACTTGTAGGTTCAGGTAGTGCACTCTGGGGAAGAGGCTCTCCAGCTTGGGAAGTTCAGGGGCCTGAGTGCCTCCCGAGTGGTGTTTCATTCATGTGCGCAGCTGTTCGTGCTGGGTGCATGTTGTTGCTTTTTTTCTTCCTACTCCTGTCGCCGACGGGAGGAGTGGGGTTGTAGGAGGGATAGAGATGGAGATAGGGGAAGCTGATCGTAAGAAAGGAGATGGTGTAGGCATGGGGGCGAACATTCAGTCCACTAGAGTGGGAGTCAGGCTTATATACTATGAACAGGTCGCGCCAACAGTTCTCCGCTTGGTGCGGTTGGGATAAGGCTATGCAGCCACGCGCCTAGTTCACACCTCCCGAGCTTTTGGTCTCTCTCTTGCGTTAACAACCGCATTTTGATCTTCCTCTTGATAAATCCGTTCATCGCCGAAACCTAGAAGGGGTCTCGGCGGAAGAAGGGTTTGTATTCACCCCCTGACTTGTCCCGGATATCCTGGAAACTTCCGGTGAAGGACCCGGGTCTAGTCCGGAGAGCCCTAGATTTACGGATTTCACGAATCTATAGGAACAATGCACTGTCGTTCGCTTGAATCTCCGTTGCCGCCCCAGCTCTAGTGGAAATCCCTTATTCCGCCCTGGGGGCTGTCCAATAGGTGGTACCGGCACTTATGACGGTCGGGTCCTGACGCACCATGCGATGTCAATCTTCTCTGCAAGCTTGGTGAACCGTGCGTACAGAGGTGATAGGGCCCATTAAAAACCAAGCTTTTCGGATTGGCTTGGATGCGTCATTGGTTGGATCAAGAACTACTCGGAGGTGCCTTGTGTCACGTGTAGGGTGAACATTCCTGGTCAGCGGCGCCTAGCACACTGTCAAGACCTCACCCTGACAGTGAATCTCTGGTGTGTCTGTGCTCATCCGTAGAGTGTTTCTTTGCTTTTTCATAGGTTGTCGAGTGAGCGCCTGTGATCATGTTCTCCATGTCGTGTATGGAAGAGATTGGCTGAGCGATTAGTTCCTAGGGATTTTTCTTCAGGGGCTTGGAGAGCTTCTCAGTCGTTTAGTAGGCCTAGTTCGCTTGGTCCTTGCAGGTACGAGAATGTAGGGATTTCGCGAGCTATGCAAAGGCGTGCCATGTGAATCCCCCGAGTAAGTCGGTGGGCACGTTTTGTCTGTGGACCGCTGTACAGTGTATTGAGTACCAGTACACCTCATCCCAGAAACGTAGTGATTTGTGCTTTCTACCGTAGCGATGCTCGGGCACACGAGTGTCGTACGGATTACATCGATGAACCTGGTAGGGCTGACAACCGGGAGTTTGTTGTGTCACCTCGGAAACTCATTCTGTTGTTTATCCAACCACTTCCTAAACAGGGCCGTCTCACCTAAATCAGCCATATCCTATATCCTACGCTTGCTGCGGGAGTGGCATGACAGCTGACCGAAATAATATTCGGCAGGACTTTACTTCTTCATATACCGGTATACATTGAACCCCAGGATGGCCCGAACATAATCCCATCAATGGAGGGCTGTCTAAGGTGATGCACAACGGCGTGGCACCGGTGGAAAGAGGGCTCCAGTGGTGCCATTCACACCCTGGATTGCTAATACTCGTACTGACGGTCTCCCTTCTGCTATGACCGCTTTACAAAATATCACTCACTGAATGCATAGCGAGGTCTTTGCGCCACGGCGGAGGCGGTTTTAGAAACCCGCAATAAACCATACGGTACCCGTGGTTAACCCGTCGGGTACTCGCATGGCCTTACCAATTTCGAATAACATTCCGTTGGTGGCGCTGGACAGGAGAGGGCATTAAAAGCTGCCCATTCCGCTCCACACTGTTTATCTCAGACCCGGACTGTTCCATTCTGAAGGCCTGTTTCAAGCTAGGGCCTCAGCACCGGCGGCCCGACGGATACCAATGTGTCAAGTTGGCATCGAAAGCATAAATTGTCGGAGTGAGATCAATCAATCTGGTATACAAGTACGGGCCAACTGCCGGCCGGTCGGCTGTCCTGAAAGAGGGTATCGAACAGACGTTGGGAAGATGTTGAGGGAAACCCCACCAAATCCGGGGGACGGCTATCAGAAAAAAATCTCCCAACTGCCTGGGAGAGGATTTCTAACGCTGAAGTATCGCGGAGTGCTATCCAACCAACATTATGATGCGAAACGGCGGTAATCCATTTCATTGGACTCGGGATGAATTCATGGTGCCGGGGGACTCTTTTTTTCTTTTCTTTAGCGAGTATGGGTGATCGGTGGTGTACTCGTACGCTGATACATACGAGAGCGGCAGTCGCCGGGGGGTGGAGAAAGTCGTATGTGTAGAAAGACCGACTCACATCCTTCGAAACGCCCCGTTGGGGTGCAATCACTTGCTAAGGGGCATGGCGGGGAGAGGAGGGGAAAGGACATAGCTATGCAAGTGCTTCATTGGGGCGTTCTGTCGAATATGTTTGAAAATGAATAAGTATGGGTCCCCATATAAACACGTATACAGGCGCCAGGACCAATCATATTGCGGGAATTTTGGCCGAGAAGTATATTTCCCTCAGAGTCAGGTGATTTCTTCACCGACAGTGGCACCCACCGAACACGTCGATGCAGGTTTGGTGATCCTGCGCTGCACAGGGGAGAGAAGGGCACCCGCGTGGGCGCATGGCTGCATACGAAATGACGAGAGAGTCAATGCGAGTGAGTAGCAATGATCGAGTGAGGCGGTGGGTAAGGTATTAGTGGGTAAGGGAAGGTAGCGGAGGGGGATCTCAACTCACCGACAGAGTGTGGTTTGCACGATATCCTTCTAAGCGAGGCTTGGCCGCAGGGGGGATCGGTAGAAAAGAGAGGGAGAGAGGGAAAAAAAGAAAAAGCGAGAGAGGAAAAGTTCTTGGCGCTTACCGGTATGCAGTAGCTACCGGTGCGATAGATGAGCGTAACCCAATCGAGTCCGGGTACTTACTTCGCATTTTGATACTGTCAGCTACAAGCACAGAAGGAGGGATTACGTGGAGAGGTTTCAGGTTGGGTTGTGGGTAAGCTGTATCTGTATTCGATGGGTTAACTGGTGAGTATCGCTGTTTCCATCGTGAGAGTAATGCTAACCCAGCTGACAATTGTGACAAGAAGGGTGATGATGATGATGATGATGATGATGATGGTGGTGGTGGTGGTGGTGGTAGGAATCGTAGGGTGTCAGAGTGGAATGGGGGTGAAATATACGTATACTCCATCTACTCTTTCCACCTTGCTTTCACCCTCACCGACTCTGATTTTATTGGGGTACCGTAGTGATGGAGAATCTGGCCCCCATTACAGATATCGCCAGCCAAGACAGGCCCAACTACCCGCACTGCACCACCGTCGCCCCCTACCGGTACTTCTGGCTGTCCAGCCCACCCCCCCCCCCCCCCGGGCGCGCTCTCTTTGCCTGGTGTAAGGTAGGTATCATGGCACGGACTTGTGTATTCGTCGCTATGGGAGAGCACGGACGTCTAGCACCTCCGGAAGCAATCCCAGCAAACACCGGCAAACAACACCCAGCACCAGCGGATTGGGCGTAGAGAGTGTTTTCTTCTTCTTCCTCGTCAGGGAAATCTTCAGCATCCATTCCATTTTTGCCTACGCGCCCCGTAGCGAGCCTAGGCCCGGTGGGGTATAGTTAAGGCTGAGACTGCGTCGTTACTGAACTGCCCCCGTATATAATAAACCTTGCGCATCCTTCTTACCCTACGATTCTTCAGAGCGGTCGGATTTGTTCCTTGTCTAGTTTTTCCCTTTGGATATCCGAAAACGAGAATCGGGGTCTTGACAATACCGCACCCAACATGAGGCTCCCGGTTGAGATCGTAGACCAGATAATGGCGAATCTTTTGGAGAGAAAGGACCTGGCCGCTGCGGCCCTGGTTAGCCGGGCTTGTCATAGGTCTGCGACACCGCTCTTGTACCGCGATATCGAGATTGAAGACTCTCTCTACCACAACGATACGCGAATAATGCCGGCACGTGGGGCCCGGAAACGTACGAGCTTGCCGCAAATGGCTAGTGTGGTTTCTACACTTCATGGGTGAGATATGAACTTCCTGGCATCTCCTGGTCATGCAATATTGCTCACATGCCCCTTGCGTGATAGCAATCCATTTGTCTGCTCTTTTGTGTCTTCAATCGGACATCAGCTCTGTATTGCGGACGCCCATGTCGACCCTCTCCAACGCCAGCTCTGGGAGATGGCTCTCATAACCATGAGGCTTCAGTTACAAGAGATCATCGACCGCAACGGCTTTTCTAGAGTTACCCAGTTACGTCTGCTCAATCCGGATGTCGAATTTGCCGAGATCCTATTGAAAGGCCTTCTTCCGCAGATAGAGGTCCTCCACATAGCATCATCCTTTGTTCGCTATCTCCCATTCGATGGAAGCTTGCCTTCAAATATCAAAGAGCTGCAGGTGCAATTCTTCCCGGAGCTGTTCCGAATTCCGGGGTCAGCCCCTTTTGGGGATGGTTGGCAGGCGGCTCGGGCGGAGTATAACTCTGCCGACGGGATCATGCACTCCCATTTCAATAGCTTCCTTTCCAGTTCCTCATCCCTTCAAATTCTTCGAATAAGCGGCACCAAAGAACTCCACGCCATTCTTGCCGATGTTGCTCTTCCATCTCTGGATACCTTGGAAATCGGACCTGTCTTCAACCGGGTGATTGATTTGACGGTTGCGGGCCTATCATCTTTTATAGATAGACATCCTAGCATATCCCGTCTAGCGCTTCGCAACCTTCCCGCTGAGACGGACACTGTGCTCTCCCTACCTCCCGAATCTCGTTCCAGCATTCGCCAGCTGATCTCATGTGTTGATGAGATCCCGAGTGACTATTATTCCTTTCTGGACCAGTTTGAAGGGCTGGATACCTTCAAACTGCAGCGTGATATCGTGGTCGGTGGCATCTTGCAGGATGAGCTTCTCGAGTTGGTGAAGCACCTCCAGCGTGATGGGCCGGGCATTAAGAACCTTGCCCTTCCAATGCCCTCGCATATCAGCGGGTGGACCCTTACGGATGGTCAGCTGGGGGTGCCGGGGACTTCATTGGAGCATTTTGGCCGGGCATTCAGGGAATATTTGCCCACAGTGGAAGTGTTCGGCATCAGTCAAATTGGGAGATATAGTGATATCAGAGCTGTATTTCACCCCACTCGTCTAAGGAATTTCCCTTCAGGGATGCTGACACTGGGCTCAAGGCAGATTGGGCTCGCTCCTTCGCTGGCCATCCCCACCTGAAGCGACTTGCAATTAAGACGCCGTTCCTGCCTAACTTCAGGGAGTCCCACGCGGTCCGCAGGGATGCAATTGATGACCTAGCAAAAGTCTTTTCGGATTTACCGGCGCTTCAGAAGTTTGTGTTCTATGAGAGTTTCGATAACCAAGCCATCGAAGTGGAGATCCTTAGAGGAGAGACCACTACCGGCAGGGAAAGGGCTGTGGACAGTGCCGAGGTAGACGCAGAATTTTTCGATCCTTTTTTCCAGACCGGGTGGGAGAAATCGTAGATCATGTTATATCACTCGTACTAGCACCATTTATGAGCTTTTCGGGTGCACAGTGCCGTACATCAGAAGCCGACATTCTCCTTCACTTTTCTCTCTTCGCTTAGTAATACAGACGAAAGAAAGCAACCCCTTGGCATAAATTTGTAGCTATGTGTGTTCACTTTCTCCAAAACGCCCCTCTCGCTGTTCCTAGCATATTTTCACGTTGTCAACGCTGGTGCATTTTCGTTAGATATGTGGCTTGGTTCTGTGTCACGTCCAATGCCTAGACATCAAGTGAGGACGGCTTGGGCACCACTTTATGGTTCGCTCCTATCGAATCCATATGGGATGTCCTATCCCCAGCTTGTGAAGCATCGCAGAGAGTATTATAGCTTTAAGCGTTCGGGATTAAAAATACAAACAAACCTTTGGTTTTCCCCGCCGACTTTCATCGTGAATTACATTGAGGTGCTCGGGATGTTAGAAAGGGATGGCCGCAGCCAATTGATACTCGTGGTCGATTATCCCCAATCCGCGCTAATACTCTTACTCAGGAGCCAACAGCAAGATCACTGCGCATGCAGAGCCCCCCCCCCAAGGCTACTGTGCGTCCGAGTGGTTGCCCTTTATGCGGAGTAAGTTAGCAGGGCACGCGTCCTCGGTTTACGGACAAAGCGCGCCGGAATTTCCTATGATAGATACCAACACTCTACGTGAGTGATGCAGGCTGATTTCGTAGACAGCGAGGTCTTATATAAAGTGCGACTGCGGCCCCCACCTTTGGAGGGAGATCTGGTGCCAACCCTTTCCCTTGCCTTGCCTACACCAGTTGTCCGGTATCTATACAGTAAGGAGTGAGGATCGCCAATGACCGATACAAGGGTCTGGGGGTCTGGGCGGATGTTATTGGTGGGTCGGTATTGGGATGATCCTCGGATCGCCCCAGATTTTTGGTACGCAGCTCGTTATTGCAGTTTCGACTTGAGCTGAACTGAACTGGCAGGGAGGATTGCATCGTGTCTTAGACAAATGCAGTGATTTGTTGACACCATAAAAAAGGAAAAAATATCAGTCTTTAGGCAAAAAATTTTCACTCACCAAGCCGCTTCCAGGCTCGAGGGACCAATGGACTTTCAAGAAAGCAGAGAACATTCCGAGACTCCTTTCCCGGATCGGGTTGAAGCATGATACAATATGTGCCTAGGACTGACGGGCGCAGTGAATTGTTAGGGCTCCCAGAAGTTAGAGTACCGGTGCATGGTTGTCACGCTTCGCTAGCCGATACCCTGGTGATTGCTCTTCGATGGAGCCTGGCCCGAGTTGAGTGCCGTACTGCCGTACGATAACTTAACACTCGGGGTCTCGATCGTCTGTTGAAAATATCGTTAGATCGTGCTAGTGGCGTTCGCACAGACTCAGAACCGAGCAGTTAGGCTCGGGATGGGCTTGCTGAGACTTGGGATATTGTGTGCGTGAAACGGTAATTTCTCAGAGATTAGATTTCCGGCCCATGTGGCCGGGATGGGCAATGCCCACGCCTCCCGTTTTGGCTCAAGATCCGACTGGTCCGCCTCAACCTGTGTGCTTCCCCCCCAAAAGTCGAGTGAGGCACTGTGAGGACTGATACGAGAAGCAGGGCAATTCTGTAAGGGGTGGTTCTCGGAGCTCTGGAGCTTCTAGCCTCCGGGGAGGGGGAGATATCCGGCGCGAAACGCGCTCGAGGGCTCCAGCAAGCTTCCTTGAGGCTGTAGAGCACAAACCCCTTGAGCTTGCTGGTAAACGGGGGTAGGGAACCGGGTCTAGGAAACAATATATCGGAGAGAGGGGAAAGCGATCCAAATTACCCTTTTGTGCCATCTGCTCTTTACGAACACTCACTAAGGCTTGATATTAATACAAGTACAAGGCAGCAAAAGGATTCTCCGCAGCAAAAGGTCAGAGCGCATGCCGTATTGGCTATTATTGGTCACCTAGCCGGAGAATATCTGCCCTACATGATGTATAATGATTAGTCCTCGTGTTCACTCAATAGACTGATGCACCAGATTTCCGAGCCCAATACGGTACTGGAGTAGTGCTGGGTTTCAGGGGTCACATTAGTGCATCTTATGGGTTAACGCAGGCCTACCTACAGTACCTGCCAACGCCGGTGCGAGTACTCTGGGCCATCCGCAGTTACAAGGTGCTAAGGTCTCAGTTTTGGACTCCCGGGATCAGGCCTCGAGCATGTATTCGAGATGTTCACGCTGGACACTCTACGCATCGGCGATCAAACATCTGGTCATTGAGAATCCGCCGCACCTAGCTATCCGCTATTGTACACGTGCTTGCGTGCATCGTAGAGGAGAGACACTGAATGTTTCCTTGAAATGATGTGTTCCTCTGGGTACTGGTGGACCTATCAGCCGTTTGGCAATGGGGCCTCCCGTCGTTGCGAGCCGAACGCAGAATCCACAGAATTGGGAATGGTCTCGAAACAGGAAATGATCTTTGGTTCATTTATTTTTTCGCAGGCAACCGGACACTTGCCTACGGGATCTCATGTTCCGAAGCCTCACCGCATCGCGAGAGTACTGTACCGGTAGCCGTATTCCATCGGGAGATCCCCCAAGATTCGTCCTGGGAGTACCCATTATATCCAAGTCCCCAGCGAGGCCAGGAATGTGACCAACAAGGTAGGGTACTGTACCGGCATCGCCGAATGTGCTCGCCTTGAGATATATCTATTATTTTTGGTGACGTCATTTATCTCTTGGCCCATATATGGTCTACCTATCCACCGGCGGCAGTTTATTGTCTGATAATTCCTCGCGAGTGAATGAGGCGCCCATCGATACAGACCCTTTGTTCATTGAAAGCCGTCAAGAGGTCGAATCAAGGATATCCTCATTAACTATACAAACCAGATTCTACCTGTAGCTCAGGGGGCAGGCTGTGCGCAGTGCGACATCCTATCCCGAAGCCTTTAACGCATAAGTAGCGAATGCTAGCTTTTACACCCGGAAGGGTTGCTGGGCGTCCAGTCCCAGAGCTTAATTTGAGCCTATTATAATCGGGCTTTCTTCCGAAATGGCTCACCATTCCTAATACCGGTAGGCCCCACGATTAGCCCAGGAGAGTGACATCGATTCCTCAAACAGGGTTATCCAAGAACAGCGATCTACCGGTTTGGTCAAGATCACCGGTGACCTACACCCGATCCCCCGAATTCGGCACGAGTGGGGACGATAGAGTTCGAGAACCAAGAAGGAGCAAATTCTCCGGTTCAGAAAATTTTTTCTTTTCGATACCTCGCTGCCTCAGTCCTGCCTCGTGACTCTAAACAACCGATGGGAATTGCAAGTGGTTTGCTACCGGCGCTGCTTGTCTGAGAAGATGCAGGTAGAGAGCTCGTGCTTCTGCAGCGCTGGACTACGAGTAGTAGCCTGCAGCAAAGATGCAAGTCTACATGATGCAAGGCTGCACTGTACGGTACAAGTACGGTGCTCGTACAGGGGGGGCACCACCGGTGTTGATATTGCTGGGTCTATTATGTGGAGCGGCGGGCTCCCGGCAAGACTGGAGAAATATAGACTATCATACTGGTTTCTGCCGAGTGGAGGGGGCCATTACACCTGTGCTGTACGGGTAAGTGTATCATATGCACTAGCAAGGCACTAGTCTACTGTGCGTTATCTATTGAACGGCTAGGGGGTAAATAGTCATTCATGCAGCTATATGGGTCTTTTGACGAAACTCACCAGCAACTCGAGAGACACCGTAGCTATGCGCTTGGGTGCATAAGGTTGAATCATAGACAAAGTGGTGACATGGCCCAGTAGGCCATTCGAGCGCTTGCAGTGAGTTCGGTATCGTTCAATAACTGATCTGGGGCGACGGTACAGCAGTTTATATCCGAAGCGACCGTCGACACCCTGCGCGCGACGGTGCAATAGCGGGCTCATACTGTAGACGCCGGGGGTGGTACAGAACGTCCGGCCCTATCTATTCTAAAGCGTTAGCGAGCCAACGCCGTCCTACTGCTCTACGGTCGAGGCCGAGATTTCGACGCCCTTAGTTTTTCACTTGGTGTGCTGTACCTTGCATACAAGCAGATACGAGTACTGTATGTCTAAAGTACACATACTCGAGTACTCGAGTAGGGAGCGGTACTCGGGTGCACTGGTCCGGTTCCCCACCGATCCCTCCCCGCCAAGTCTTCATAGTGCAAGGCTGAAAAATGAGGCGGCCGAAAGGTTCGCCCCACCGCACACGGGTGATTGGACATGGGTGGATAAGTGCCGCCTGTTTCGCCGCTAATAGTTGCGGGTGAACTGGACAACACTACCGTTACTCCCCCACTGCCGTCGGGGGGATAAAAGGGGGTTCACGGGCTGGGTCTCTCTTTTTTTTGTATTTATTTATATTTATTTTTTTCTTCAATAAACTCGCATTGCGCTTGAGTCTTTTTTTTTTAGTTTCTTTTTTCTCCTTTCTCCCCCTCTTGCGCTCTACCATACCCCAAATTTGATAATCCGCCTCCTCTACGAGTACCAAGGACCCGCAACACAGGAGAAGCAGGAAGGAAAGAAGGGAAGAATTGAACTTCACATCGCTCACCGCCATGGACTACACCACCCCTTCGCCCATAGAGGAGGATTTAATGACGTATCCCATGTCTGCTGAGGGTATTGAATGGGAGGTTCTTCAGGACTGCATCACTTCATTCCTGGGCCCTGAGGCATCCGCGAGCCTGGAGCGGACTCAGGTACTCCTCAACCCTACCATAGCTGTTTCCTCTCCTTCTGTGGATCCCTGGCTTACCTCTCAATTAAGGACGGTGCGGACGTGTACTGGGTGACCGCCACGAGGCCATTCCTACCCGTAAGTTTGCTCCCTTCTCTCGCCCGTTCGCCCGTTCGCCCATTCACTCATCCACCCCGCTTCACCAAGAAACGAACTAACGCCCGACGAAAACAGAGCCAAATCAATGACCTGAAGGCCTTCTCGGCCGAACTTCTCGAAGACCGACAAGCAGCGGTGTGGAATCATCGACGACCAAGCCGCCATCTGAGGAATCGGGGCGGGAGGAAGCCCAGACAGACCACGAGTCCAATTGTATTGAGCGCTCCACACACTCCCCGCAATCTAGAGAGCCTCCATGGGTTGGAAAGACTGACGCAATTCGTTATTAGCACGTACAACTGGTCCTCCCGGCACCAGTACTGCATCAGAATGCATACATGATGGTTCCTCCTTCCTCCTCTTCTCCTTCTAACGTACCAAACCCCCCAACCCCGAGTAAACCCAATGGAATGAAGAAGGGAAGAGATTGGTATTAACGAAGTGGCTCTTTACTTAGCACTGCCGAAACTGTCAAAACCGCCCCCCTCACTCCCCTCTTCAACACGATAACCATCCTCACTCTCCAGCAGCATCGAGTGGCGCAGCAACGCTCTCCTAGTTCACCCGCCTGCATTCTTCTCCCCCACTCCCTTTCCCACTCCGCGGAAAAAGGGGGCTTGTACAAGGGTTTTTTTTTTTGGCCTAATTTCCCCAATTCTCAAACATTTTGTCACTTCCCGTTGCGCGTATTTGATTTGGCCTGTGTGTGTAGTCTAACAACCCGGTGTTTGGCTTTCTTTCTTTCCTTTTTCTGTCTTGTTGGGCAACAAGGACAAGCAAACACGGGTAAATTTTCTTCTTCTTCTCCTTTCCATATTAGATAGTTTTCATTAGCGTTGTGACAAGTTTTTACCTGATCCCATTTGATTTGGTTTGGTTTGATTCTATAGGATTGTATTTGTCTCTCTCATCATTCTCATTACCGTTTCTATCATACACTAAATTCTCTTTCTTTCCCTCTTTCTTTCCTCCCTCCTTCCTCACATGTAGAAGAAGCAAGTGGTAATTACTATCCTATTATACCCTACTGCACCCAACCATCAGTCAATCCCTCCCGAAATCCATGCGAGCGGCCGCAGTGCAACCCGGGGAGTATCATACAGCACTCGCACAGGTACTCGTACAAGTACTACCGGGCTTACCATATTCACCACATCCAGCATAAACCCCATCCAAAGTTGAGACAAGCTCCCATGCAACAACCTCCGGGACGATGGACGGGCATAACAAACCGGACGAGTGGATATCCTCGAAACGCGCAATTACAGCGAAAAAAACCCACCTACCCATCGGAGCGGCCGTTCATACCAAACTCCAAGTACGGTACTGTAGCACGAGTAAGTACTACATTACACACCTAAACTCCGACGGCACTGACACTCGAACAGTCCCGAACGACCGATCTAGTACTTTCTTTTCTTTTTCCTCCTCTGGCATCTCCGGCACTGGTGCGGTTTAGCACGGTGGTCGCACCTTGAGCCTCAGGAAGAACGGAGAATTGAAAGACATTCAATGGTAGAGCTTACGTAACCATCGGGTGAGGCCCACCGGTTCCAATCCGACTTGTACCGCCATTTCAGCACGAAGGCGTTCCAAAGTGCAAACTGAGAAGTTTCTCTCCATTATTTTTTTTCCCCTCCTTTTCTTCTCCTTGATTTGTGCGACTAAATTGTGACAGTCACACACTCACACCTCCGCGGAAATTTGCTGCTGAAAGGTATCCTCATACGGCGCTGTACGAGTCCTAGTACAGTAACGAGTATGGCAGTGCAGTCCAGACCACCATCCAAGTGGCGGATTACGAGTGGATGGAATGAAAAGAAAAGAAAAGAAAGAAAAGGAAAGGAAATGGATGGATGGATGGATGGATGGATCGAACGGATCTGCGGGTTAAGTTAGATGAGTTGGTTGATGGGGAGATGTCTCTTCTCTTCTCTTCTCTTCCCCTCTCCTCCTTCGCCTTGTGGGGCGGTCGGTGTTTTGGAAGGTAAGGGGGAGGGGGGGGGGTAAAGTACTGTTCTGTGAGTAAGTTCTCGAGTAAGGGCGGGAACAGGCTTGTATAAATACCTCCCCCTCTCTAACCCGTAACTTACTCTAGACTTGTTGGGTTTCGGAATGCATGCATCGCGTCGTAGCTGCCTGCCTGCCTGCTTGCCTGCCCACTTTGGTCGCTGCTGTTGTTGTTGTTGTTGTCGTTGTCGTTGTTGTCGGGGAACCCTGAGAGATGATTGATGATGTTGGGGCGCCATTTGTCTTGCCTGTTAGCAACTCGACTTTTTTTTCTAGGCAGCCGGGCATGACAGGAAGGAAGGAAGGGAAAGGAAGGGGTTTTGTGTGTGGGATTTCTTTCTTTCTTTCTTTCTTTCTTTCACTTTTTCAGATGGCTGTAGTGATGGTGGGGGTGATTGATTGCCCTATTATGCATTGTACTAGTACTAGTACGCCCCTTCCTGATGGGACTTTGTTACTGGTATTGCATGATGTGATGCCCTCTTTTTATTTTATTTTTGTGATTGACGTGCTCTTTGCATGATGGGGCGAGGGGCGAGGGAGCGGGAGCGGCATAAGAGTTAACTTATGCTTTTATGCGCTGAGATGGTACGGTAGTGATACTGAGTCATTCGAAGGGTTGGTATTTTAAATATGCTTCTGGCTTTTACAAAAGTCATTTGTGTTATATTGAGGAGAGAGAGAGAGAGACGTGACTAATCATACTGAAAAGTGTACAGTACCCTATCGTACTAACAAAGTACTGCCACCACCACTACCCTTACCACTACCAAGACTACTACTACGAGTACTACTACCGGTACTGCTGCTGCTAAAGAATAGTCTAGATAGCACACGGTTCCGAAAAAATTATGGAGAAAAAAGTAAAAAAAAGTAAAAAAAAGTAAAAAGAGGATAATTCTAAATTGTATCCTCCCCGCTACTATACCCCTCCCTCCTAATCCCCTTCATCCCTTCATCCCCGACCACGAGCGCATCAATGTCCGCGATATCCCCCCACCCACCATTGCCGTCAGCGCCTGGCGGACCAACCCCAATCACCGTCCCTTCCTCCTCCTCCTCTCCCTCCCCTGTACCATCCGGCGGTCCGAAAATCCTAACGCCCCCCACCTCCGCAACTTTAAACCCCCGATGGCCGCAATTCCACCCCCCGCCGCAGGACCCCATCCCACCGAGGACCTTCTCGACCTCGGTCTCGAAGTCGGCGCTCGGGACGATGTCCTCCGCCTCCATCTCCTCCGCATCGACGGCGCGGAAGATGGGGAATATGCGGACCGTGCGGTGAGGTTCGGGCGTTACACTTAGCGGTAGGAGGGCGCGGAGTTCGGGGGGATAGAGGAATTTGATTAGAAGGGATTTCGGGTGGATTAGGCACATGTAGAGATTCATGGAGGGCGTGTGGTTTACTAATGTTGAGGGGGTGTGGCGGGAGAGGGGGTTAAGAATAAGTTTGGGAGCCCAGTGGGTTGTGTAGCACTGGCTTGGTTAGTGAATTGTGGGCCGAGTGATATGTAGAGAAGCAAGGGAGGGATGTATATGATACCCTGATAATGTCCTCCCCAACTCCACACCTCGTCATAAAAGCCTGCAAGAGTTCCACCCCTTCCTCCACAGACCCAACGATAAATGTCCTCCTCCCTTCCTGCTTCCCGGAAAACGAAAGTGGGAACCGCCTAGGTGCGATCATCCACCACCCATCCCTCTCAATCTCCCTCCCCTCCTCCTTCCCTTCATCCCGCCTGCTACTCCCACCACCAAACGGCTCCGCGTAATTGACATAAACCTTCTTCTCGCTCGTCTTCTTCCTCTGCATTGTTCCAGGATCGTCCGTCGAATGCCAACTGAGCGTCTGAATCTCCTCCTCCGACACCAAGTCCTTGATCGTTCCGTCGGGCGAGACCTCGACTTCCCGGCTGAGCGAGCAGGCCACACGCTGTCGCTTCGTCTGGGCGAACACGTCGAAGGAGGTCGTCGCAAAGGTGCCGCCTGAGAAGACTTTGTACCTGCCATCGGGACGACGCTCCCAGACGTGCTGAGTTGGGGCGTCCGTCTCGCCACTGCTGCTGCTGCTGGGCTCTTTGTACAGAGAGAAGGGACTCCAGGGTGGGAGCGGGGCATATGCGCTCTCGCCTGTCGGAGTGAGCTCTGGCGCTGCGGCCGGTTCCATTGACTTGTCGGGGGTGTACCTGAAGGCTTTTGGGGTGGAGGGGCCTGCGAGGGGTACGTCTTCTGGGTCTTTGGCCGGGTAGGGCGAGTAAAAGCATGATACCGGGAAGGACGAGTTGAGTAGGGTAATGCTAATTGACGTTGGGGTTGGTACGTGGAAGTGTATTTCTGGTGGCTGCAACTCGTACTTTTTCAAGTTTGCTGGGGGGGTGAGCGTTGGAGATTCAAAGTTTAGATATGTATCTATAACATCGCTCTCCATCGGCGTTGGGTCACCAGGATTCCGTGTGGCTAACGTTTTTGGCGGAGGAGTTGCCCAAAGGGCGCCAAAGTTCGTTGATAACTCCTCCACTGTAGGTGGGTAATGGAATACGATGTGCAAGCTCGGCTTTAGTACAGCCATATACTCCTCCGGCGAGGATATCAAATCCCCTTCGAACGTTGACATGGCTATGTCCCGTTCCGTGCCTTCGGGGGGCGGAAATAGCGTTATGAGTGATCTCAGGAGATTCTATAGTACTTCAGCAGGGCGTTTTTTCTTGAGGCATTCTAGAAATAACGCTAGCACGTACATCATATGTCTCTACCATTGCCAGTGGCAAGTGAGCTATTTGCATAGTCCCTTTCTTCTGAGCCTTAATCATAGACAATTCCGGAGCCTTCTCTTTGCGCGTCGAGGAATTTTCCTAATAAAACAGAAACTTGCCAACTTAGTACCCCATCTGGTAAAGACCTTCAGCAAAATCTTAAGTATACAGACCTCATATTGGCTCTCCCCAGAATTCTCGCCTGAGCGCGTTTCGACAGAGTGATTCTCCGGAGCACTATTCAAAAAGGACATCAGTTCCCGGGGGCCCATAGCTCTAAACTGCTTCTCGGCCATCTTGGGGCACTGGTGTGGGATATTGGGACAAAAAACTTTTAATAAAAAAGCTTAGAGTGATTTCTAGTGAGAACCCAGCAAAAGGTTACCACTGGAGATCTCGGTTCGTATCTAAGAGGCCTCCGTGACGCAGACGGAGGAAAGTAACAGCGGCTTGGCATTAATCCTTGCCTTGAATGGCGGATCAGCAACTAGCCCATGCCACACAATACCTATTCAAGCGCATGGTAAGCTTTTCTTCTTACATCCCCCTGGAGCCCCTTATTGGCTCACCTAGAGCCAGAGCTGGTTATCCATTTCGGGGGAGTCGTGAGTGCTTGGGTTTCTCAAAGTGCATTTTCGCCCTTCTGTCTATAAGAGCGAAATTGGTCTCTGAGAAATGGGTGGTCGGAAAAAAGAAACCCCGGGAGAGACTCATGCACTGATGACCTTTCAGAAATCGGTTATGTGCGATGATGGTGAAGCCCCCGCCTCAGCTACTCACACCTCGAGATCAAAGTACTGGTATAACCTTGGGGGAGTCTATTTATCGTCAGCTTAACTCAGAAGTCGTAGCTTCCGACATACCGCCACAATGACTCCTTGCAGGTATATCCTCAGGGCTTGACTAGGCTACCGTACACTGGCTTGCCATATCACCCTAAGCAGAGTAATCCATCTCGATCCCCAAGGCTTCAAGCCGTGCCTCCGATGCGCATAGCTGAAAAGTAATCGCATCGCGACACCGGTGCTGTGTATGACCCATCGAACAAGTGGCGTCCGTGAAGCTCGGGGGCTCCGAGAAGGTCCACCGTTCCCGGATAATGGTGAGTGAGCGAGTGATTTATCTCGAAAATTAGGATGCGCGATGGGGGTGATCGGGGCTTGAGGTTAAGCTATGCAGGCTACGGTAGGGGGCCAAGGGGGTAGGGTTTACTGAGCAATACCGGAAAGCATCTGGAAGCTAAAGGCTAGGGTCCGAGATTTCGTCTGAGGTTAGGTTTTTGTTACTCCCGGGCTTTATTACGCCAAGCCGTGAGAAGTTGTAATGTGACATGATAGCACAACCGCTACCTCCACTGCCGCCATCATATCTACCATTCCAGAACAAACAAACAAGCAAACCCTCCATTCACAACCAACCACAAGAATGGCAACTGCCACGGACACAATCGCCCTCTACGATTCCCTCCCCTGTAACCCCCCCCCCCTCCCAACCTCCTAGTCCGCAGCCAAAAAAAACTGACAAACCCCAGACATCGACACCCCCCCCACGGACTCCGAGCTAGAATCCATCCACAAACAAATAACCTCCGAACTCTCTGCAGACCATAAGACAACCCCGCACCCACGCCTCCCACCGCTCGTGGAACCCAATTTCCGCCCAGCGACGCAAGCCGAACTCGACAGGATCGCGGCCGGCAAGCCGTGGGTTGGCGGGATTGATGTGAGCCGGTACGAGCTGGCGGCGGAGGCCTCGCGCTCCGCTCTCGTGGCCGCGTATGCCTCCGCTGCACACGTTGAGGCGCGTCTGGCGAACCTAACGCTACTGAACGAGTTCGGGAAGAATTCGTGGCTCGTGCACAATTCGCAGCTGGAGGCGCTGCTAAAGGGGCTGGAGGAGAAGTTGATGGAGCTGAAGACCGAGTGCGAGGTTGTCAACAAGGAGCGTAAAGGCGTGCAGGTGGACGCGCAACCCGAGCTGGCCGCGCTGGAGGAGAGGTGGAAGGGGGGGATTGGGAAGGTGTTGGAAGTCGAGGCTGGAGCTGAGGCGGTCCGACAGGAGATACTCAAGAGGAGGAGGGAGAAGGCTGAGGTTACGGATAGCTGATTGCTCCCTTCTTTTTTTTTTCTTTTTTTTTTAAAAAATAAGAGCGGGGTTGTTGGGTTTAAGTTTTGCTACAAACCTGGGTCGGCTTTTCCACTCTTACTCTGTATATTACTATTATTACCATTAGATCTTATCCTATACCTTGGGTTTTCACGGTGGCGGGTTTTTCAAGCATGGCGGACTAGTCGCGTTTTATCCGGTTCATCGACCAGGCAATGATACCAGTATCACATTAGGAATACAGTGCCAACGTCACTTATCACCCGTTTTCTCTGTGCAAAAGGTTCAACCGCTTTGCGTTGCCAGGGGGAGAAATGACTTTCAATAATCATCCAACCAAGCGTAACAAGCAGCCCCACTATGCCCTGGATAAATGCTTAACAGACAACTTGCGCCTCCCTCGTTCGTACCACTTCGGACACTCCCCCACCTCTATCGCCACGAGTTGTCCAAATGGGGAGCAGAAAAAAGCAGGATAAAAAAGGAACAAGGGGTAAAAAGGAAAGCTCCACTTTGCCAGCTTCGTCATAATTCTCTGTATCCCCGCTCTTCCCCCATTCGTTTCATTAATGCGTGGGCATCAATCTCAAAGGAGAGAAACATAAAAGAAAAGAAAAGAATAGTTACAATGAGACGGGAATAAAAGGAGGAAACACCAATAGCCTCTAGTCGCTCTGGAATAGCGGCCAGGGCAAGATACCCACCATCCGAAGTGAAAGAAATTTTTAAGAACAAATTCCACATGCCTTTAAACTTCCACGGCTCTCCCCCTGCCAGCCGCCTCCTCCACAACACCCTTTCCTCCATCAAATCCGCCCGAAGGTCCAGGGTTTCCAACATCAGAGAGTGGGTCAACACCCTCCGCTAACCTGGGGTCGTTCCTTCGCATGATCTCTGCCACAGGCCCCAAGAGCCTCTGGAATCCATCCTTGCCTAGGGTCGCCAATTTCACTCTGGTTACTGCTCTAACGCTTGCAGCACGGGGTGCGTCATTCAATAGCGCGAGCTCCCCAAAATAATCGCCTTTTGTTAACCTCTTGATCGGCTCATGGATACCCTGCTTGACCACCTCCGCTTCACCGGACTCGATGATGTAGAAGTTGTCACCTGGATCGCCTTGTTGAATAATGACCTCTCCAGGATGGAAAGTGAATGGTTCCAATGCATCTGCAATCTTGGCGCGCTCGTATGGGACGAGGGAGGAGAGAATTGACACTTCCTCAAGGAATGCCTCGTACATTCTGCGTCTCTTAAATGTGTTTTCCATCAAAATCCGGCGGAATGTCACACGGTCCAATGCCCACAGGATATTGTGTGATGTTGTGGATATGATGGTAGCGGCACGTGGAGCGTTGTACATCAATGCCAGTTCACCGAAAGACCCTCCTGGGCCAATTGAGTTCACCTTTTTGCCCATACCGTCAAGCCCGGGAAGCATACTGCCGGCACTATTGACGTAAACATCAAAGGAGCCTTTCTCAACCACATAAAAAAAGTCACCGACATCTCCTTGCGTGATAACCCGGGTACCTTTCCCGGGGATTGGTTTCTCCATGAGCGCGGAAAGAACTTGACCACTCTGGTCGTCATCTAGGTGCATGAACAAAAAGTTTCCAGACACAGCTGTTTTCAAGCGGCCGAGCTGTTCAGAGGTCTTTGGGTATACAGGGGGGTTCCATTCCTCGTTTGAGGATGATGGGACCAGTGACTCGGCGGAAACAGAGGTTCGTCGACTCATGTTGTAATTGGATGGGAAATCGGGTGATGCAGAATTCGGGGAAAGATGTATCGACGGGGAAAGATGCGACGAGCCCGAGTGTGGAGGCAGATCGTTACCAAAGGCAAATCTGGATCGGGGAGAGAACAATGATTGGCCCGGTGATGGAGGTGGGGCAACCAGATTGGGATTCAAAAGACCAGGACCTCCAAGAGCAGCCGGTCTAAAGCTAGGGGTAGTCGGGCTCTGTCCAACGTCTTCATCTTCTTCTCTTATTGTTCCAGAAAAAGGGCTCTCGCGACTCCCATCTAAAGGAGAACCGCCGAGATTCATCCCAGAACCGGGAAAGTGGCTCTCGCCGCCACCATATGCCGAAGAACTTGGCATTGCTCCGAAAGTGTTTGAAGAGGAAAACCCAGAGTTATTCGAAGCGGATAGCAGAAATTCGACTCGCTGAGCTTCGAGGCGGCGATTGAAGAAGTTAGCACAGAACTGGAGAACGTCCGTGGGTTTTGATTTTAGTATCTCGCGGTTAAGTGCGTTGATTTCGTCGAGGTAAACTCCCGGGAGTGACATTCCCCTATCCCGATCTTATGTGCTTTGGGGGGTTGTGGAGGGGTAGGAACAAACAAATTGAGTTGCTCTGGAGATGCCTGGAAAAAGTAATCCTTGGTTATTGAAAACCAAGCTGTAAACCACAAAAAAGCTAAAATCAGCTTGGCCCCTTAAAAAGAAAAAAGGAAAGAAGAAAAAAAAATCCGGACTCAGAGGGGTGCAATCACCCTCTTACTTATACGTCACGGAGAGCCTCTGGGTTTCTCGTGCGCATGGTCAGTCAAACTTGCATTCAAACTTAAAGCACAGCATAGAATAGAGGCGAGCGGGAACCTACCAAGTGAACAGCCAACGAACCGGGCCAGCTGGGGAGCGAAATGGAATTTAGAATTCTCGGCCTTCCCGTCCTCAGGATAAAGTCAGTCGCAGGTTTGAGTCACGACCCTGCCTTGCAGTGGCCCCGGTTCACTGGTCCTTCTTTGTCCCGTGCCTGGGCCAAACAACAAGCCTGCAGGAATCCTTCTGAAACAAATAGAAACCGGCGGTAATTTTCTCCGGATCACTCTTGAAGGTCTTCAGGTGAGAAAAATGTCGCGTTACGGCTAGTAGACGGTCGAATAGAATGTCTATTTGATAGCAGGAAGTGGTTGTTAGTTAGACAGCAGGTAACCGTGCGACAGGGGAGACTAAGATGGGGCAAAAAGAGCAGGAGTAGCCTAGAAGGAACGTACAGATAAATGTTGGCGAGCGGGCCAAACAGAATCAAGCTGTGAAGGCGGCTCCGCGTATTAGCTGAGCCTGTTCCTCGATTAGTACCCGCCAGACACACGATATTGTCCGGGTCAAAAGGGTTCTACCAGGACAAAAAGGAAAGAGATGGCACTATGAACAAAGAGTGCAAGGCACAGTAGTTGGCGACTGATAAAGGCCTTAAGTGTGCAAAGGATGAATGAAAAGTGGGGGGAGGATAGGGAAAGCGCGGGAGGTGAGAAGAGCAACTAGAGGTGGAGTGTGAAGAAAGGGTAGTGTCCTGTGAGGGCGGAGGTGAAGTCTAGGGTAAGGAGGAGGAGGGGGAGGAGGGGGGGAATGGAGTGATGGGAGAAGCGAGAGAAGATCAATGGCGGGGAGGCAGGGAGGGGAGTCTGGGAGAGGGCGTTAGGGGCGATTGGCGAGGGCCGGGCTAAGACAAAGCTGCTGCGAGCGTAACCCAGCAGGTGGATACAAGTAGCTTTGGAGCACAGTACGGTACCCGTACAGTAGCACAGTGTGCTGGGGCAGCAGGGGGGGGGGGGCGATGGATAGCTGTAGCGATTTGAATCACTATGGTAGGCCATCACAAGAGGCTTGAATTAGGGAGTGAAAGTGACCCTCGCTCTCGCTGAACCGCCTAGCGGTTGGCCCGAGATCACACATACACGAGATAGTAACATATCTGTGCTGAATCTATGGCGTGTGTGTAGGGAGTATCAACTTCTCCCCCGATAATAAATACCAGTACGGTAGTTTATCATAATATTATTATGCGATCTTTTCCCCAAGAATTTCCAATGCTCTTCTAGAACAACCTTAAAATTAAAATTATCCTCATGTCTAAGGTTGCCTCTTCCGACATCAAATATTTTACAACGGGCTACGGGCCACAAGGTGAGAAGAGTGGGCTTGTTCCTGGAAGCGCACCGGCCCAACTCCTCCTCTGTCCTCGGTCAATGGTCACAATCAGGCCCTCTTTCCAAAAGCTGGTGCCCCCCCCCCCTCCAACCCGCAGAGGATGATGGATGGTGAACGGACCAACCGACAGATCATAAATCGAACAGTCCGGTTTTCAGTATGTGGGGTTCCTGTGGAATTTTTATTTTGTTCTTTCCTGTTTTCTGTCCCTCTTTTTTTTCTTTTTTTCTTTTGGAAGGGTATCGTAAGACAGCGTGCTTTCCTCACCTATTGGCTACCAATCACACGCCACGCCCGCCCGGTTGAGTGAATGCTTTTTACTCGAGTACTGCAGGTTTTTCGTGCGTGGAATTTCAGCGAATGGTTCCAGAAGGTCTCCCCCAATAAATCGCTCAAAGGGGAGAGTTGCGACCACTGACAAAGAGGCGCACCACACACCCACAAAAGATTGTTGTGGTCCCATGTCTCGTCGCTATGGTGGGCGAGGGAAGCAAGAGAGAAATGCCGTACAGTAAGGTTATCATGCTCGTGCATTTTGAACCTTCCGCTTACCGTGCTATTCCCTTCCACCTGCTAACCATGGAAGCTAAGTCGGACGTCAGACGGTGGGAACGCCATGACTGCGCAAAGTACCGGTACTCGAGTAATCAATCGTAATTGTCGCTCCGGACCCGTTGTCGGTTACTTCGTGCTGACTTAACCAAGCCACCATACGAGTAGTTGCCCAGGAATCTCCGCCCTCTCTTGCGCCCTGGGCCTCTTGGCTCCGCTGAAATTCAGTAGGTCTAAACGGATAAGGACCCGGATTGATACAGTGCCACGACTTGGATCTTGCAATACTGTACTCGAGTACTCGTACTGTACTTATAACACACCCTTTTATTGCAGATGGAAACTCGTGTGCGATATCAATCACACCAATCATACAATGCTAATAAACATCACACAAGGCGAAAAAGGTCGTTATCTAGGCTTCCACGGGGCCGCACCGGCATGCTGCCTCCTGCGAGTATGTAGCAAGGGGAAAGAAAGAGGAAAAAAAGCACCCAGATTGATACTGTAACGGCCATCAGGTGGTGGAAGTAACCTGTCAGACCTCCACCAATACCTGCCTGCGTTCCAAGGCCACATCACCAAAGCCACCACCCTTGCCAGAGGCAAGTAGGCTTCACTCTTGGCGGTTGAGGGCATAAAAGCGTCACCGGGCTGGAGGGCCCGCGGCTCCGGCAAGAGTTTCGGATGAGGTGGTCTACCCTCCCGCACGGCGGTTTGCTGGATCTAGGAGATGGTCAGAAAGCCCCGGACCCGCGCGCCCGCGCAGCCCGGCCTAGGTGGGAGCTAATGGTGTTGCCACTGGTTGTCACTCGCATCAGGAGCCCATGGACCCCCGACAAATATCAGCCTTCTTAAACTTGGCCGCTTCAAGAGGTCATACCGTGGTCTTATCCTCGGGTATCTTGGAGCCGCTCTTGTTAAAATTATATTCAAGGAGCACGGCTGTGAAACCATACCTTCATGACGACATAGGAGTATCATACCGGTATGGTTGAAATTGGCATTTGAGGCGAGGTCCAATTTCATGGTTTTTCCACCTCGACCGTGGGATTAAGTGCCAGGTCGCCCGGCTTTGTCATCGCCTTAAGTTAACATCACTCAGGTCTCTCTGCGCAAACCCTCCATTGCTGGTGTTTGGAACTCGCCCATAGAAATGACCCTATGAAGTAATGTCGTGTAGTATAGGAGAAGTGGGGGTGTGGGGGGGCAAAGCTTATATAACAGTAGTATGATAGGAGGAAGATCAGGCTGGCATCGAGGCCAGACCGGACAGCAAGAGAAGGTGGCGCAGGTGTTTGCTGGGCGCCCGCAGGGGTTATGTTGCACATTAGGGCAAGAACCCGGCTTCCCATCCCAGTCCGAACATCGGGAGGCAGGGGCCACATGTCAAGTGCGCCGACAAAATATGTTGGTCCTCGTAAGCCCGGACCCCTCATCGCCAACCACCAGACCGGTAATCTCGTCTACCGACGACCGGGATACACCGCCAATCACCGGCTCTGCATGTCCATTCAAGCCATATCCAAAGTCTTGGATCGTTGCGCCAGAAGGCTTCCAGTAATTGCTCGAATATTCCCCTTACGCCAAGAATTTACAGATGGCTGTCTTCCTCTGTTTTGTATCACCTTCAGCCTTATGGATGGTGCACTGGTCCCCGGTCTGCTATTTTCCAGGAAAATTGCTGGGTTTTGTTATTATCCCTTTATATTCCTCAGGCACATTCAGACAAAGCTCAGAATCTCCCATAGCCCAGCTCTTCTCTCTAGCAAGAGCAGTTCTCAAGATGTCCTAGAGCATGCAACCGACATATACTGACATATCCCCGCGGCTACCGAGCAAGCAAGCTGGCCCTATCGTACTGTTGGCGTTGCGTCCCCGGGGCGCGGGGTGGCCGACAGTGCAACTGGGACTTCACCAAAGTCTGTCCCCCCCCCTTCCGCGCCAAACCACCACCACCACCACCACCATAATGCCAGACCCCAAGCTTACTGTGAGCTCATACGTCATCTAGCGCCGGGAGCTCCCCTCACTCCCCCCCAACGGATCCTGGCAGGATCAAACTATCCTAGCTGTTATTGCCGCTCGGGTTTGGGTCTACGTCGTATTTTTGGTTTACCAATCAGCCAGCACACCGAGCATCAGAATGCAATGGGTGCCTGCATGCGTGCATACATGCATCCGATGTTTGCTCTGGACGTGCTAATCTTGGTTGTTGTATGTGGGGGATGGGGGTTGCATCTACGTAGGCCAGCGGTGTAGTGTATTGGTGCCGGTTGGTGATTGTGTGGATGGGCGGCGGCAGTGGGGGAGCATTTCAGTGGCGACGGGAGGCGGTTTGGGATCATTTGATAGTGTGGTGTTTGTGATTTTGGAGGTGGAGGTGAAGGTTTACTCTTGGTGGATGTGTGGGGTTCAACTGAAAGTTCGGTGTTTGTGTTATCGGCTTTAGTTGGAACCCTTGGATCGCGAACCTTCCTGGAGGGCTGGCTATCCACGAGCAGTTTTTATGTGTGAACAACAAGCAGGTGCGTATCTGGCTTTCCTATGGCATCTCTGGAATTGAGTGAGACCAGATATAACCAGCCCTCTCCTGTAATGCTCTGTAAGAGTTCTCCTAGCCCTCACTTTCTTGGCCTATCCTTTTTCCTCTGCCTCATAGAAAGCGTGTTAGTGGCAAGGCATCCTCAGGCGCTCGCTCTGTAATTGCGGACTTCCGATAGATCGACTGCCCATACCGAAGCCGCATGAGACCATAGTTGCAAGGCTCCAGATGAGCCTGAAGAATATTGGAGAAGGAAGTTTGTCCCTTTCAGTCTGCCGGTTCAGATATTGCTCCGCTACTAAGAGCCCTTGCCTGCATGAACAGTGAATATATGGTGGTGGAGTATGATTGCTAGCAGTTTTATATGTGATGGGGGCCGAAAAGCGAAGTTGTGGATACCACCTTGTTCGTGGGAAGGTAGTCGCTGCGGATATGGAGGTGATGCTCTCGTTGATACTTCGTTGTACGGTACCCAAACTTCAGCCCGGATAGTAGACGCAATGTTTCTATCCATGAGGAGATATACCGGCTGGAACCGTGCATGGTGTTACTAATCGGTGAGGCCCTTAATAGTCCGGGGATTCCCGGGACACCACAGCTGGACATCACTTCGCAACTTGAACTCGCAACTTGTTCGTGGCGAATTCGGTGGGCGGCTCAAAAAAAAAATCCACAGGTCTCCTTGAGCGGAGTGGAGTTGCAATGGCGATCATCTGAAGGAGTAGGGGGGGGGGGGGGGCGATGCTGTATTTTGGGTGCTTGTATCGTACCGGTAGATGAGATTCACAACGAACCCGAGACGTTGAATGAAAATTCCGGTGAACGAACGTAGATTGGTAAGATCGAGAGGGGGATCTCCCGGCTAATTTTACCTCTCTTCGATAAATTGGCTTTCTCGTGATTCGATACTGGTTCCATGTTTGAACTCAATGAATCAAATGCTTTTGGTTCTTCGGATTCTCTGGCATATTGGTGAGTAAGCCCCCAACGAGCATCAAAACGAGTGATTTTCAACAATTAGTATGCACTCCAGATCATGGATCAAGGTTTCGATCCTGATTGCTTATTAGAGGGTTTGCGTATGACCTAGGTGGGAGTTATTAATAGTGTTGCTAGGGTCGCCACTCTCATCAAGACCCTGTGGGTAATTGGGGCCCTCAATCCCTTGTCCGTTGATCCCTTGTCCATTTCCTGGTTTTTGCACCTCAACGAGATCGCCAAGCTTTGTCGTTAACTTACGTTAACCCCACCATGGTCACTCTGGGAAAACCCCCTACCATATTGCATGATCCACCGTGTTCGGAGGGAAACTTCCATCGTACGATGCCTTGAGATGGCCCTTCCAACCGTGCTCGGTTTGCAGGTGGTTGGGTTCCAAAGTATTTCACGGCTTTCCATTGAAGGGAGGGGTGCCCGACGCCAAGAGGGCGGGACTCTAGTGGCGTACCGAATTTGTAGATCGCTAGCAACGAAATCTTTCCAACCCTTCAAGGTTTCCCTTAAAGTACAGACCGCCGGTACGGGCCCCGAGCAATTAGTTGCATCATGGCGCTCGAGCATGCATGCGAATCATTTCTCTAAAAGGGAATTGTATGGGGATAAGTGCTGATCGGGTTCCACTGTAAAAAACCGTCATGTCCTTCACACAAGCTCGTGAGACTGGGTACAAGCACCCTAAACATCTATCCTCGCTTTCAATCTGTTTCTACACTTTCTTGTTACGCACTGGTATCCGTCTAGTCTATTCTATTTTTTGCAACGAAAAGTTCCCTTTCTTCCCTACCCTCCTCTCAGTTTAATCCAGCCCAGCTTCCGTCCGGAGCCGCTCCAACTTTAGCTCTGAGCATACGGTTGTCTCTGTTACGTGGACAGCAAACCTCCTCTGCCGTTTCCCCAACTGAACTCCAAATACCGACGAAACTCCTGAGGATATCCGTGTTCACCGCTCCGTTGCCCGTATCTCTGCCTGCCCTTCCCGGGCCAAACTCCCATACGAGTAGGAGCGAGACACTCGGAGCTCTCCTACTCGATCCCAATCCGGAAATGAAGGCACCAGCACTGGCCCTAAGAGCGAACCCTACGGGCGCAGATGCTTGCTTGAGGTGGAGTCACCAATCGGCACTTGTCAGGGATACGATTTATATCTACGGTGGCCAGGCGAGGGGGAGCTCGGATCAGGACAGTGATACTTGGAGTAGGCTATTTCATCCGAGGTTGTGTCTATGGGGCAGGGCTGATCTTAACAGATAACAACTTCTTGACTCTCTCATTGACAAATGATTGGGATGCGGGATCGCCGCCTTTGAAGGCGTTGCCTCAGCCGAAGGGGCCACCTGCTGTTGCAAATGGGTGAGTGCGAGTTCACTTGTGTTCGCGAAAGGTTGCTAACCGGTGGTATAGGTATCTGTGGCATAGTAACAACAATCTTTACCTTTATGGCGGCCTTTTCTCCGACAAACCCGTTGCGAAGCCAACGGCGTTCTCAATATGGAAGTACGATATCGCTGCCGAGGAATGGTCCGATATTACATCCAAGACCTCCGTTTCTAGCGATTCCGGCAATAAACGAATCGAGAGAGCAGCTGAAGGGGCGGGAATTAGCGTTCCCCAGCAGAGCAAGGGGTACTACTTTGGTGGCCACCTCGACGCTTATACAACCGAGGGATGGAGCGTTCAGACTACGAGGGTATACTTGAAGAGTTTGTTAGAGTTTGACATGGAGGGAAATGTTTTCCGAAATGTCACCGAGCATGGTTTAGAGAAAGCAGGTGTTCCCGAGAGGGCCGATGGCGTGCTGTTATTTGTAAGCACCCCGAAAGCCACAGCTTTTCGACCACAGGCTGACTCGGCCTCTGTTAGGTTCCTTGGGGTGAGGAGGGTATACTAGTCGCTCTTGGAGGTGGTACCAATGATACTTTCTCACAGCTTAATATTGTCGATGTTTATGACATCTCTAAAACCCAGTGGACGAAACAAGCCACAAATGGACCAACCCCAAAGTACAGGGTCAACCCTTGTGCTGCTGTTGCCTCCGCCGCCGATGGGAGCTCACACAATATCTATTTCTTTGGGGGTCAAAATCTGGTGCCTTTTGCAGAACAAAAGCAATACGATGACTCCTGGATTCTTACTATCCCATCCTTTACATGGATTCAAGTAGATACAAGTGGGCAGAATGTACCTCCTGCCAGAGCAGGTCACTCATGCGAAATGTATGGAGGAAATATGATCGTTATCGGAGGATACGTGGGCCAGGAACTTTCTTGTGATAGCCCTGGGATATATGTTTTCAATGCCTCAGGCGCATCCTGGACGAAGGGGTTTGTCGCATCGACAGCCAAAGGTAGTAGGGGCGAATCCAACGCGGCGTTGGCGGGGCCGGCTGGGTACAAAGTTCCTCAAGTTGTGATTGATATCATTGGTGGCGATGCATATGGTGGTGCAAGGGTAACCAAACCGGCTCGTGCTCCAGACGAGAATTCGCCTGTTGCTTCCGGAAAACCTGGTGACTATAAATATACCACCATCTCTCTACGCCCGACAGGAACGATCGCTACAATTACGGGCGCAGATGGCTCGGTGACCACCTCCACCTCCACCGATGGCTCTGGGGGGAGTAGTGGTAGCGGTTCTGCATCCTCTCCAAAGATCGGAGCAATTGTAGGTGGTGCAGTTGGTGGAATTGCATGCCTAGTCGCCCTTGTTCTTATAGGTGCCTATATATGGTACCGCAAGAAAATACGAGAGCTCCGTGAGTCCAGTGCGAGACTCGCCGAGAGTAACGGTCACTCGAGACGGTTGAGCGAAACTGGTCTTAAAGAGAACAGTGGCACCCTCAGGGGTATGGGGGAAAATGAGAGTGCGGTGGATCTCCTCAGTGAAGAGCCGTCATTCTGGGGTGTTTTATTGAGTCCTAGGAGAAGCCTTAGGGTCGTCAATCATTGAATTTCTTTCCTCGCTTATTGCTGCTCCTGTTTGGCACTTTTTCTTTTTTTTCTTTTTCTCTTTTCTCCTTCCTCTTCTCCTTGTATGACACGGAATGACGGATACGAAGGCGTGGGTTGGGGTTTGAATCAATGTTTTTTGCTTCCGGTCTAGTTTTACCATTTTCTTTTCATTTCTTTTAATGATCTTTCTTTCTGTGCATTGGTACCAGAGCTTTGTTGCTATTTTTTTCTTTTCTTTTCTTTTCTTCCCACTTCACCTTTTTGTATGATATGATCATGGGAAATTGCGGCAATGATTGCTTAATATAATGAATACGGCAACCAGCCGGGTGCCTAGCAATATAGCAGTGAACGTTTAGGAAGAGACGAGATGAGTCAAGACCATGGCTTGAAGAGAGAATAGTAGAAGCTGACCGCGAAGAGGCGGTCCTAGGGAGGGAGAATGCGATGTTCTCAGTATAGTGTGAAAATAACACCAGGTCCTATTGCAAGGGAAAGTTCCGGGAATCAATGCCTCTGCTCGCTCTTGCACAAAATTCCACTTGTAAACAAACTTCGGCGCGGGGGTAAAATTGGTGCTGGGAGTCACAAAACATTTAGGGATCAAGTTTTGGAACTTCTGATTTTGTTTCATGCTCAGAGCAAATGGAACAGAAGGGATCTGAGTAACTTTCCTAATAATTAGAATCTAGAGTGAAAAAAAAAACTTAAAAAAAAACTTTTGGCTTTGGTACAGTATGCTTTGCCCACTGCTATGCTAATATAACCATACTCAATATACTTTGTATAAAGAACCTGAGGTGGCTCAGGGGGGTAAAATGGTAGCACTTGCTGCCTAGGACCTTTTACTCGCACTCATAAAATCAATACTACCGTATTGACCGAACTCTGCAGCCTATAGTCCCACGAGAAATAGATTGGGTAGTAAATTCTAGATTTAAAAGTTGGCAGATGAGCAAGATCAGCTCGTGGAATTGTCCACTAGTAAGATGTGTGTACAGTGGATCTCGATACCATACTAAAGCATAAAGTAAAGTAAATGGATAGTCTAGTAGATTGACATAGTATCCATTGCCTAGAGGGAGTTTTTTTTTTCTTTTTTTTTCGTTGGAGGCAGTGGTTTTTGTTGGTTGATTAGATATATTCCTAGTAAATTTGTACATCACTAAATTCTCATCTGGATATGATTGAATTTGCTTGAAAGCAGTTTTTTTCCCCAATGGCTGTGGTAGTGATGACTTAACTTTCTGGTTGGTGATAGCGGGCATGATTGCTAGTGTATGGTAGGAGGGAGGGAGGACAAGAGGGTTGTTTTCTGGAGCAGGAGATTTGGCTTTTCACCTCACCTGTCCCGGGGATTCCTTCTATCCCGATCACTATAAACGCCATACGCTAACAACCGTCCATGGCGGTGGACTCTTGAATACCGGGAGCTAAACATATACAAAATCGTACGCCTGTATTGGTATTGCGCTGTTGGGTAAAGGGGTCTGTCTACCTGGGATGGCGGAACGGAAGCTATGCCTAGTAAACTAGCAATTTGAAATTACTGCGTTTGTTTCTCCGGGAATTCTTATGATATCCAGCTACGGAAGGGAACAGGGCTTTTCGCTACGCACTTTCTGCCCCCACCCCTCCCCTCCCCTAGCCATAGCTGGTGTTCCGTCATACCTATTGTATCATGGATAGCTAATTTTTTTGTTTTATTTTTCCCTCTTTCGGGATCGGTTTGATGATTATGTAGGGGTGAATGTGTTGTGATGGGGTGGGATTTACTAGAGGGTTTACTGTGCTGGGGCGGGTAGTCTATCGGTATCGGGACTAGTGAGGCATGATGTGATATGGTACGATTGGGCCTAAGGTGGGAGGGGGTTTACGGTTTCACGAGTGATAGGCAATGATCATACTCAATTGTCTCGTTGTTCCTCAACTGACAGCGCACGATACAGGAGGTTCGGGCTGGCCTAGATTTACAGTACGGGAGAGCCAGGAGAAAGGTATTTTTTTTCTTCTTCCCCAGGGCAATTATCCTCCGTGAGCGCACTCTGATTGCTCCTCAGCTTGGTTTTGGTGGTTGATAGGGTAATGAGTACATCGGCTCCGAAATAGGGTATTACTTCGTAGTAGAGTATGTGTGCGCACGGCATTGCCAGCTTAATTGCTGCTTAATATAACCCGTGAGTCTAACCCAATTCTCGACACTAGTAAGGGGGGCTGGAAGTGCGGTTCTTCCAAATAATTTCCTACGATGTAGTCGTCAGCCTTCCTCTTCAGGGTGGATAGCCGCCACCGCAACAGGGTGAATAGTCAGCTACCGTAAATTTAACAGGGTTTCGGGGACCGGAGATTAAGGCTGTGGAAACTTCCCTAGCAACTTGAAACCTCTATTCACCAAGTGAGCTGTCAACCTCCTAATGCCCTTTGCAAACCTCGCTAGCGAAATCCTCCTGCAAATCTCCACCTTCCTCTACCCGCCAGACATAGACTCCCTAATACGGTCAAGCGGCCACCTGGCAGATCTGCTCTCCCTATTACTCATCGCCACCGTCTATCGAAAGCACAGCCTCGGATGCGGGTGTTGAGTGTTATGCCTCTTCGCGGGGCGCGAAGATAAGGCTTCAGTGCGCAAACTCCTGAACGACGGAATTGCGGGCTTTGCCGGTCCGAAGATATTCCACGGCACCGTGGCAACGCACCATCCAGCCGTGGTGAGGATGTTCGTGGAGTGCGGGGCGCAGCAGGAGTCTAGAGCTCCTTGGGGACAGGCGTTCCTGGGACTCGCGGCGAGTTGGGAGGGGGGGGGGGGACTGTAAGGTTTCTCCTGGCGCGGGAGATCAGGAACGAGACGCCGCTACATCGCAGTGTGAGGTAGGGGCAAGCGGGGTTTATTTTGCTTTTGGTCGCGGATGGTAAGGTCTATGTCAATTCGAGGAATGGTGACTTCTCCACCCCGTTACACGCTGCGATGTATTGGAGGGTGCTGGGTTGTCCTGGGGCTGACGTCAACTCGGCGAATTACCGTACCTCGGATAGTCGCCGCCGCACCTGACTGAGCAGGTGAGTGTGTTAGCCATGTTACTGGCGTGCATGGTCGCACGCTACCGCACATCGCGGACGGAGAAGGGAAGGTGGGGGTTGTGAAGTTGCTGCTCGGACCGGAGGATACCAATCCCAACTAGGAGGATGGTGGGGCGGGTCTGTAGAGATGTTGTCTTAGGCTGGTGCTTAGGCACCGGAGATTCTGGACACGATATCGAAGAAAATGTTTGATTTGCGGGACAAAATTGAGCGGTATGAGGAGAATTCCTAACGTGATACGGGATCAGTGTAGGACTACGGGGATACGCCCTCCGGCGGAGAGGAGGCGGAGGATGAGAATCTTCAATGGGGAACACTGTGTGCTCGTAGCGCGGCAAGGGGTTGAATGGTAGGGAGTTGAAGGATAGAATGACTGTCAATGAGTGATGTTGCTCATAGGGGTCTCTTGCATCCTGTTCCCGCCTGTGTTCGGCAGAAAGAGGAGCCGGGGCACAGGTACTGCAATGAGCCCGCCCGCCCGCGATCGGTAATAAACAATCATTTAGCGAGATGTAAAAAAAGGTATCATAGGGTCGGGCTGTGTCATACGGAAAAACCGAATGTTGACCCGTTCTATCGGTTACGGCCCCGTCACCATTGAGCCCTGTAAGTGACATCCTGTGGTCACGGGTATCATGCCTTATTAGGATATGGCCCGGGCCCGAGCTCGCAAGATAATCGGTGCACATGGCCGATTGGGATCGCGGGGGAAGGGGATTCTGTTGGGTCCGAAACACAAGAGAGGATGGAACAAGCTGGGAGGAAAACGTGCTGGTATGATGCCGCTATCGCAATTTATAAAGCGTTCGTCCGAACATTGGCATCCCACCGTAGTAGCAGTAATGTTGTATCATGAGTTACCGTATTCCGAAAATGCAGTCTCCCCCAGTCGGATTCTGTAGACCTGTCATACCAAATCAATTACACTTTATCTGGACTGCCTGTAGTAGTGGCCCTTATATAAGATCCTGCTGGGGCCCCAGGCAAACAAATTTGGTGATATATCATACTCGCCAAACAAATACGATCATGAGCGCGGGGCATTTAAAGTGGGGGCCAAACGTGGGCCTTGGAAAATGCTTATCCTTAGGGATACGAGCTCTAGTCCCCCGGGGCCGGTAACTATCTTGAAATGTGTAGGTTTGGGAAGGTAGCAATTCCGCCGCAGAATTTGAGAGATTTTTGCTTCTCCTCCCCCCTCTTCCAGTTTTCCGGCTTTCGCGTCACTCAGCTTTTTTACTGGGTACTTTGCCGGAATAGATTAGTATACTATTGAGTATTGTGGTGGGACGTACGCTGGTGTGGATTACGAGGGGAAAGACTTGATATCGTATCAAAGTTGCCCGGAGTTGAACAGAAATCAGGGAAATCTCCACTTGAAGTCAAGCTCAAACCTCCTCCCCCCCCCTCCCCCGGTGGTTCCTAACTCCAAAATCGGACCCCGCCTAAATCGGGTCTCTCCGAAATCGCGATCAAAATCTGAAATTGCGTCTTGCCAGACACTCCAATTTTCTTTTGATTTATCATAGGTGGGAATTTGTAACTTTTTTTTTGTAACTCACTAAGGCTCAACTTAACCAATGAATTTTTTTTCTTTTTTCTATCACAAACTAGGCCAAGAGGGGCCCCATCGGTTTTCTATTGTTTTAACATTATCTCCATAGCCCCAAATCACATCACGTTTTCAAATCATATGATGGATCGAGGTCAGGTTACAAAAAACCCCATGATTTGGGGTCACGATCTGGATTCACAATCGCACCCGCCGAGCACCCCCCATGTTACTTGTGTTCTAGAACACTAAGCACCAGAACTCTAGAGCACACTTCACGATGCACCTACGGCCTTGCCTTGCCTTAAACCATGACATCTCTATCTCCTGATGGCCCCCGGGCTCTAAAGAATTCCACAACACCAAGATTCCCAGCTAAGTCGTTGGATAATGCTGGGCGGGTGGACACTGGATATTCTCCCACGGCGAAACCACAAGGCAAGTCGGTGTTCCCGATCCCTTTTGGGATCTTCCGTGTCTCACCGCGGCTGTGGGATACGTGGGGTCGTAAAAAAACCTTTCTCCACCATGCTGTATCACAGTATTGTACCCGGGTGGGGTGTGGGGCTTGAGGAAATGTTACACTTATGGTGGAGTAAGATTCGTAGATTCCCGGGGTCTTTGCGTGCCGCTTGATAAGGCCATGTGCATACATGCCACAGACCGGATAGTGGCCGAGGTGCAGGTTGGGTGTTTTATTTCTTAGGGTTAAAAGAGATGTAGGCCCGGCTTCACGTCAGATCACTAATCCTGGTCCATACGTGCCGCCGGCGTCAAAAGTCATGAGTAGGCTGGAATTTTACACCAAAAATGATCAACTATATGATTCATCCGGGAATCTCACCTTGATCTCTTTTCTTTTTTTTTGGTAAATCTGTTAGAGTCATATAGAATTTGTTCTAATACAAATCTAGGCTCTATCAATAGACCTTGAGAGTAAGATTTCAGAAGGATTTGGGATGGACAGAAGGTGCCTCGAATCGTCCCGGCTCCCTATGGAAAAGGCGTATTGCAGCATCTCAGGACAAATCTTTAGCCATTGGCACAAAGATCACACAATTTCTACTTGTTTTTTTTTGGTTAAGTTATAAGTCCTTAAATGCCAACCTACCCATGAGTTTTGATGCCGGGATCTTACTCGGGTGCAAGAAATTCTGTGTCTATCTGTCATCTGACATTATTCCCCCCGATCCAATTGCGCGGTAATGGTGAATCGTTATCTGCGGGGCATGGGCTGAGACTCACCCAGAATATTCGGCACAGAGCTGATACATTTCAGTGCTCTGTGCTTAAGTCTCTGCGATGACGCCCTGGGGGTTGGTGGGGTGTGGATTCCATATTGGGATAAGACCCCGCTCACAGGTACTCGAGTATACGCACCTCCCCCGATGGGTCGTAGGTGGTATTCTGTGAGCTCTTGTAATTGGCCGAGTAATATCGTAGTTGATCAAGCAACTGCAATCACTACAATACTCGGGCGTTTTTGTTGGAGCCTAAAAGAATAGCCCCGAGACCATATTATTGGTAAACCACCTTACCGCACACTAGGTGGCCAATCTCTGCTCGGGCCCCATTGACCTGTCTAGATCGACAAGATTATGCGAATAGTGCACCATTCGGGAAGGCAGCATTACTTGTCCCATCGCGTCGGATTAATTATCTGTTGGAAAATGCCTATTGATATATCACCTGGTGGTAGTGTGACAGGGGTCCGAGACTAGGGTGTTGCCTGTCGAACTGTGCAGTATAAAATAGCGATATAGTATCATACATCTCTATTAGGCTACTATTATACTCGCCCCATCAATATTAGCCAGGACCTACCCTATATTGTTGGAAAGAGATAGGGTCTATAGTACATTGTAAGGCCACAATAAAATACTAGGGTTGATTGCATGGAATAAAGAATCGAGGGATCTAAGCCTCAATCTAACTTACCCATGTTTAAAGTTTGCGCTGCTCTGGCGCTGGAGGTAAGCTGAGCTCTCACGGCTTGCTATTAGATGAGAAGGCACGAATGCGTTTCAATGGCCCCATCTCCCATCACTTGTGTCCACCGGCGTAGCTCTATTATCGCCGGATTGGGAAAGTAAACAAGCCCAAGCAAAGCCAGCCCCGTACCCGAGCCGCAGGTAGCGGGGACCAGTTCCAATTCGTCCGCGTCACCTTCACCAATTGGAAGGCCATTGCCCCTAGCCCCCCCGTCCCTACTCTTCTCCGTCCTCCTTCCTCATCTAACGCTGCCTAATATAATGGGAGGGTTTTACAACCGGGTGCACATGTTGCCATGATACCGGGCTAGGTTAGCCCAATGCCCAATTTTTGCTTCCGGCGTACTTGTACAAATACTTGCAAAGCCACAGCCGTAAACTACTCCCTTCCGGGAACCTTTTTTTTTTTTTAGAAATAGTTAATCATGGGCATCGTTGTTACCTATATCCGCAGTTCTATAAGCAGGCCCGTAGCGCGGCCCAATAGGTACTCCGGCAGGAGGAAAATGGACATTTCGAATCCGCCAGCCCAAAAAGGTCGATGAAGAACGCCAAGCACCGGAGGTCCTCCCCGTTACACTTAAAACAATCTTAGTAGATATCGTCCACCCCATCCCAAAATCTACATGACATCCAATCAACCCCCTCCTCTTATTCCTTCCTCGCCCTTCGGTCAAAAACGAATCGGGGGGACTGGCGGGGTCCGGCGTATCTGTAAGTCCCCGGATAAACTACTGTTCAAGTAAAACTTGTCTACTGCTACAAAATTGTTTCTCTCCTCCCCATCCCGGTTTTTTATCTCTTTAGCCAAAAATCCCTATTCTTCCCCTCTTTTTCTAAAATTCAAGGGTTCTTACACACCGACTGCCATATTGGTTTACACTGCCCATCTTTCGGTTACCGATTCCTGGGATATCTCAAGGGGTAAAAATCTAGGGACAATATAGAGTGTACTATTCGCGGATTCCCCAAGTATCCAGGTGCCTTGATGCCAAGTCCCACCCAGCTAACATACCCTTGGAGCCAAGATGTCCAGATGGCTTTGAAACTCACGAGTATACTCCGGTTCGGGAAGAGGTTATGATATGCGGCCCATGCTATCGTGCCATTTCGTAGCCACTGGCCTGGTTTCACTCTCTTTCCCGAGTACTACCACATAAGTATAAGATAGGGTCCTTGCCCAGAATGTTGCGGACCGCTCGACACTTCTGTATCCCTGCTCATCGTTTCTTTTTCTTTTCTTTTTGATTTGCTTTTCTAGTTTCGAAGGGGTTGAGATACGGATCTCAATTCCATCATGAATCTAGCGAGAGAAGATGTTGCTGGTAGACGGGGGGTTGATGTTTCTAACGGCCGTGATGTTAGGGGAGAGGACGAAAAGAATCAAGATATTGAGGCAGGTTTTAAAGCCAGTAGTGAGAGTTCAGATTCATTCTCCATAATATCTTCGCCACAGCCATGCTACGACCGAGGCATTTGGCGCTCAACAACCCTCGACAATTTCGGGATTGACAGCAGCGGATTAGCCAACGATACTACCACAGCGGCTCCCCAAACCCCCAGGGCCCTGGAGGAGGCGATGAATACTGAATTCGATATCAAATGGGGTGGGACAGATGACCCCGATAACCCACTCAATTGGTCTTTATTAAAAAGGGTCTCCATATTGAGCACGGTTTCTTTACAGGCTTTGATGGTGTATGCACTTTATCTCATTATAATAATGTACGATGACAGTAGCTAATAGCCGACAGAGTTTTTTATTCAACTTCATACCTCTCCGGATCCCCCGGAATGATGAAGGAATTCGGGATTGATTCTTCGATTACTATCACGCTTGGTATGACGACTTATATGGTAGGGTTAGGTATTGGTCCGTTAATATTGGCCCCCATGAGCGAGTTGTATGGTCGACGGCCTGTCTACCTCATATCGTTGTTCTTGTTTCTGGTATTTGTCATACCGACTTGCGTGGCAAAGAACTATGCTACTATTCTCGTCGTAAGGTTTTTTGTGTGAGCTTCCCTTCATCCGGCGGTAAGAACCGCACGCTGTACAAAGCTGAGAAAATCCAGTGCATTAGCTGGCTCGGTAACCCTCTCGAATGCTCCTGGGACGCTCGGGGATATCTTCAACGAAAATCAACGGACATTAGCGTTCAGTATTTACAATCTTGCTCCAATGAACGGCCCAGCCCTGGGTCCTATCATTGGAGGCTTTGTGTACCAAGGCGCAGGCTGGAGATGGACCAATTGGCTTGTTCTAGCTATGGCCGTAGTGCTCTTCGCGACCAGCTTTGCGATTCCGGAAACATATGCCCCGGTATTATTGAGACAGAAGGCCGAGAGAAAGAGGAAAGAAACCGGTGATGATAGATACATATCGAGGTTTTGTCACAAAGACGGAGAGGACGACCTCTGGACATTGGTCAGGACGAATCTCGAGCGGCCGTTAGTCATGCTCTTCACCGAACCTATATGGTAGCTATTTCTTCACATCTAGATTCTTAAAATGTGGACTAATGCCCCTTTTCTTTTGGAAAAAACAGTATATTCTGGCACCTCTACCTCGCAGCAATCTACGCAGTCCTCTACCTCTGTTTCACCTCCTACCCTATTGTATTTTCCGAGATCCGCGGGTGGGGGCCGGGTATCAGCGGCCTAGCCTTCTGTAGCATTGGCGTCGGTGTTGCCCTCGCCATAGCGCTCGAGCCAGTCAGCAGACGGATCTATCAAAGGCACAAGATAGACCCGGCCACAGGCAAACGACCACCAGAAGCGCGCATATCCGGCGCATGCTTTGGCGCAGTACTAACACCCGTAGCGATGCTCTGGTTCGCCTGGACGTGTGTTCCTAATAGAATCCACTGGATCTGGCCGGTATTGAGCGGTGTCCCATACGGACTGGGCAATACTTTGATTTTCTTGCACGGGAACATTTACTTGGTGGATAGTTACGACGTTTATGCGGCCTCCGCACTGGCTGGTCACACCGTTACTAGAAGGTATGGTCCCCTCCCCTTTCGCCGGCATAGATAGCAGGAAAGAAAAAAAATGGAAATGAAAAGCCAAGAGAGAAAGATTATGATTCTAACATAAAGTAATGGCGTCTAGTATTCTCGGGGGCATAATTCCCCTCTTCGGACCAAAAATGTACTCAAGCCTCGGGCCCAACTGGGCAGCAACGACCGTAGCCCTCATTACCGCCGCCCTAATACCCATCCCCTGGGCATTCTACAAGTGGGGAGCGAAAGTGCGTATGAGGTCTCCAATTCTTCTTCGGTTGCAGAAGGAGAAGGAAGAGCGCGGAGAATGATTCACGATATGATTTTTTTGGGGGGGGGATTTTTTGGAAAGTTTTTCTTCTGGAGACGGGGGACTGCACTAGTGTTGGCACAAGTACAGTACTATACAAGTGCCAAGGGTTTTTATCACCAGTTGAGAGACCGGATTACTCGAGTACCGGTCTCCCCCGATTCCTATATAGGGTGGTACTGAGGTCCTGTGTACCACGGGGGACAGCAAACGACCCGGCTGTTGGCTCCATTGGAGCAATAACAGCAATTTCCAGACTCACAGCTCGGTACGTAAGAAATTTCCAGAAGCTGTCAGAATCGACAGAACAACTGTTTCTTTCTCTAGTGGAGCTGTAAATATCTGAATTGACGACTTATAATGTCATATGCTATGGACTTGGAAGATCTGAAAGTGGCTTGAGACTTTGTATGGGAGTGCCGCGCCAGAAGTGCGGTCGTATATAGTTCTTGGACAAAAGTGATCGTAGGCGGGCCCAGGTGCTAGGAAAAACACCAAAATAAGGGAAATTCGCGGTCCAGGAATCACTATTTATACTCCAAACATTTATTCAATTAAATCAAGAATAATATCGAGAGGTAGATAACAAACTAGAGGTTCTGAAATTGGTACTTTCGTGGCAGGTTCCATCGCCTCATGGGCAGCATTCACCAATTGGCACAAATAATTTCTTGAACTTAAGCTAGGTGCTCGGGATTTGGGCGGAAATCCGTACAAAAAGCTATATGTTTTCAAAATAGAGGATTTGGCGTCACAGTCATTCACCTAAGGTTACTGCATACCTTCTAATATCCAAATTTACTAATGGTAATACCAAAAACTACCAGATCCAAAGAATTGATTATTTGCAAAACAGGTGGCTGAGTTCAAGTTTCACGAATAAAGATATTTTGGTGTAAAAGCGGCCAACAACGATAACTTTAGTTAGGGCACAGCATAATAGTGGTGAAAATAAAGTAACAGAACACTAGCGGAAATTTCCATGCACTACAAGTTCATAAATGTCTCCAAACCACCGATCCATACTTAATACTTCATTCTTGAACCTCCCTTCTCAATCAACATTTAAGGTATACCACCTATTATCATGCAGATCTTATTCCAATTTAATTGGCCCCACTCCTCTCTTGCCACTCTATCTCCTCCTCCTCAGTCCTTGGCTTTGTATTGTGATCTGTGGTTGATGAATCTTGTTGCAACCACACTATATACTGCTCCAACCAGACTAGTATCCACTGTAAATCTACTTCCAACGCTGTCCGGTTACTTTCTTGTCGCCGCTGTACGTGACAAATACCTTTGTTCTAGGTTATCGGCGGTTTCCCAATTCCACCAACCTTCCATTGCCGAAAACTGCCCTCTACCTGTGTCCCAGTTTGATGCGGAACCCCTAAATCCGCTGGGGGTGAGAAGGTAGTGAGTAAAGAGGGCCCGGTTTTTTGTGAAAAATCGGACACTATGATAGCTCGAGTTTTTCGTCCTAACAAGATAAATTTACGGCATGCGTTAGAACAGGAGTTCCTTTGCAATCAGCGTGAAAAATTCAGACCGAAGGTTAGCAGATATCACCCGCCCAGGAATCCGCGGAACCACCACCGAAGAAAAAAGGAAAGCCGCATGTAACCGGGCGGGGATTTTCCCGGCCTGGTAGAAGGCAGATTGAGAAAATTTCCTTATCTCGCAGAAAAAAAAAAAACTGGGAAACTAAAGCCAGGAATTGGGGATGCCGGGAACCAGAACTGCCTGTATTCCCAAGAGTGTGTGGCTGTATCCGGGTAACACCGGAACTAAACCCTGAAGATTTTCATGCCTGTGGCATGTTTCCTGTCCTGTATCATACCTTATTTCAACTTCCTCCTCCGCTGGCCACATTAGACTACAACAACTGCAAGCTGTTAAAGAGTTCTTCCTTTGGGGTGAAAGCTTAATTGGCTCAGTTCAATTAGCTCAGAAACTCCCCCACCAGCACACTTCCAATTACGCAGAGCCCCGTGATTCGCGCTTGTACTCCGCGGGACGTAGGCCAGCTAACCTAAGAAAGTTTCCTCTTAGTGCATCACAGGTGGTCACTCGAAATGGAAAAAATTCAATTACATTTGTTCTAGAAAGTCGCTGAAGTGGGGATCTACATTACAATAAACGTCGATAGTGTTTACGGCAGGCTGAAAATCGAGCTTTTTTAAAACCGTTAAGTCATAATGCTTCCTACGGTCTGATATGTTAAGAACAATTCGAATCCGTTTCATAACAGGTCACGACTGTAATTCTCAGTCGTCAAGCCACCCTCAGCCCGCAGTCTTGGACTAATCTACTTGGGGATTTGGAGCTTGACACATGTCTGTGTGTTAGCCTGGGGGGAGCCTAGTACTTGAATGCGTCGTACCAACATCATTTCGTCACACCATTACCAATTTGAATTACGAAAAGTAACGCATCGGGTTATTATACCCCAGACTGAACCACGAATCTGTGATCTCGGTTACAGCACTATTACATACCGAGGCCTTCTTTAGAGAAGGCTCACGAAAGTAGCGCGATCCAGTATTTGTCCCCCATTCTCCTGTAATCCACTCGTTCGGCTGATCAGGGCCACGAGGGACATGTTGAGGATCAGTAAATGAAATAATTCGGTTCTACCCTTGATTTATCTAGCGCTTTACCCCACATGAGCGCAGAACGGATCAGAAACCCTCAAATACATAATTGCTCTCAGTACACAATTTCGCCATGCTTAAATATACAATAACATCCAATTACTCTACGAGTACTAGTGGGTTAACCCCCAGGGAAGACCATAATATTCCAGATCGGGTATGCATCAAAGCCGAGGACTACAGTAAGCCCAAAGAATACATTTGCCATAGTCCGTATAGATCACTGGGGCACTAGTATAAGTGTTGTAGGGGTAGCAGCCCCCCCCCCCAATATCCGGACGAAGCAACAGTGATAATACTCGTACACCAAGGAATCATGGAGCATAGCTTCCAATCTTCTAGCCAATGAGGTGATACTATCCCATGGACGGATGAGGGATGCAGATTCCGGACCTTCCTAACCCGGGCGTGGCCTAGTGACTTGGTCTGATAAAAATTATCATGAAATCTCAAGTGTTTTTTTGTGGAAAAGTCACTCAGCCACAGGATAGACCTACTGTAAACGGAATGTCCAGAATCTGCATGTCTCATCAGTCCATGGGATAATTCTTCAGAATGTTCGCGAGTTCAACCATTTTTGTTAAGTATGGTTTTCATCCATCGGGCTGGAGTAGTCCCATATAGAATTACTCCTGGTCCCGTATATCGGATGTCATCACACTTTTACTCATTCATCCCTATCAGGTAAAGGCGACCAAAAAAAAGGCCGTTCCCAACGGGAATAATAAGCAAGAGCCATCAACAATTCCGCCTCGGATATCACTAATCCGTGTGGATTACTAAACTATACTTACTAAACTACCGCACCTGTGCCGAGTTACCAGAAATGGCTGTTTCAACAACAGAATCTTATAGACTCTGTTAATCTCTATAATTGTTGAGCCGACGTGTATGTTGAGATCTACAGGTCAGAACTTTAGTACATATAGACTTCCCCGCCCTGTCTATGGCAGTGAGCTGGCGACCACTACAGAGCCGATATTTACGATACATGCCTTCCCCGAACTCAATCCCCGAGACCGAACAGGGAGCCCATTCCCAAGAAAGACCAACCCAATCTACCCAAGAAGGTCAACAGATGCAGTATAATCAATCTCCCGAGGAAAGTCTGGAAGTCGGGATTAAAGATGCTGGAGTAGCGAAAGAAATTGGTTGGGATCGCCCAAACGATCCGGAAAATCCACGGGATTGGTCCTTGTTCAAGAGGTGGTATCATACACTTGTCCCAGCGCTACTAAACTTCGCCGTGTACATTACCTCCCCCCATACCTCCTTATCTACCAAATTTATACTGACAGGAGCCGAGTAACTTAGAACATACGGGACCTCAACCTACACCCCGGGAGTGACCCAGATAATGGCACATTTCCAGATCTCGAGAACGGCAGCCTTTCTTCCGCTCTCCCTCTACAGCCTTGGCCTAGCCTTCGGGCCCGTTCTCGGCGCACCAATCTCAGAAACCCACGGCCGTAAAGCAGTCTACCTTGGCACGTTTCCCATATTACTCCTCTTCTCCGTTGGTGCGGCGCTATCTCAGAACTTCGGCACACTCCTTGTCTGCCGCTTCTTCGCGGGGGCCTTCGGAAGCCCCACTCTTGCCGTCAGCGCAGGCACGATCGCGGACATATGGGATCTGACAGAGGGTGGGGCATCAATGGCTTCTGCGGTTGTGATATTGGCACCATTCACAGGGCCCATAATAGGACCCTTGGTCGGCGGGTACACCATTTTGGATAAAGACTGGAGATGGCTGATGTGGGACGTCGTCTTTGTCGGGGGGCCAATCTACCTCCTCACATTTTTCACACAAGAGACATACAAGAAAACGATCCTTGCGCGTCGGGCGAGAGCGCGCGGAATCCCACTACCACCAGGGCCTTCCGGTGCTGAGGGGGTTAAGTTGGTTCTCACAGTGACTTTGTTCAGACCAATACACATGCTCTTCACCGAACCGATTGTGGCGGCAATATCATTGTATATTGCCTTCGTATTTGGCGTATTGTTCGAATTCTTCGCTAGCTATCCCTACGCATTTGGAAAAGTGTACTCTTTCAACAGCGGCGAGGTCGGACTGGCTTTTCTAGGGCTCTTAGTCGGATTGCTTGCTTCTGTCGCAACCTTCGAAATATGCAATAAGACGCTATACAGGACTGCCCTGAGAGAAGCGAAGCTTCGAGGCGGTAGGGCGGCGCCGGAGCACAGGCTCTATGCAAGTATGCTGGGATCGCTCGGAATTCCCATATCGTTATTTTGGTTCTCCTGGTCCATACGAAAAGACGTACATTGGATATCGCCAATCCTTGCGGGGATACCATTCGGTTGGGGGAATCTCTGTCTTTTTGTATGTTTTTCCTCTCCTCCCACCCCCGAAACAAACTAACGAGCGTGGTGCAGTTGGGGACGACAAACTACCTAATCGAGCTCTATCAAGACCTGAACGGCGCCTCCGCTATGGCGGCAAATGGTCTTCTGAGATATACTTTCGGTGCGGTATTCCCGTTGTTTGCACTGCCGATGTACGAAGCTTTGGGGATCCAGTGGGCGGGGAGTTTGTTGGGGTTCATCAGCCTCTTGCTATTACCGGTGCCATGGGTTCTGTTCAAATGGGGGGATATGATTCGGGCGAAGAGCCATTATCCGGTGGCTAAGTTTTGAAAGAGTGGGTGAGAACTGTTGATTATGTGATGTGTATGGATTGGCACCTATTTGCTACCTGCCTGACTCCTAGCGTGAAAAGTTGATTATTGCTTTAATAGGAGTGTCAAATAGCAATATTAATCTATCTGAAGTATCTCTAATGTAACGCAGAGGAACTTCCTAGGACTCTTAGTTATTTTTTTTCTTTCAGTTAGATTACAAAGCATACAAATATACAGTAAATGGGACTACTTGGTGTTGTTTTAACATCCTAGGCAGCCAAGAACGGGATATACGAGTGTTTTTTTTTGTTTCATTTATCCCGGATGCTATTGCGAACAGGGTATTTGGTTTGGTTTGAGGTTCTGTGTTGTTCCAAAGACATCAGATTTGGCAGGGTGGTTTCCACAACAAATGGGTATTATCTGGGAGGGCAGTGTAGATCGATTTGTCCGATATGGAGAGGCTTGAGGACAACTCTCAATGACAGCCCTATAAACCCTGGCAGATGAGAAGATCCTATGGAAATTCTAAACCACCTTTAGCAAAAATGAGTGATTTCTGATGATGATGAGGGTACAGAGTGAGGTATCAATCATAGGAGGAAGATATGGACGCAGATATGATATGCAAATGCATAATAAATACACGTATATATTATTAACCTCAAATCCGTCCAACAGATTTCATTCAGGGCTTCAAAGCTTCAAACCCTCCGCTTATCCTATCCAGCGGTGAGACAACTCAGTGTTCTCCCCAAGGCCAGAATTGTTGATAGTAAATTAGAAAATTTCGAGAATGATTGATAGTCTCTTAGCTTAAAGTGATACTAGTGCAAGAGTCCAAAAAAGCAAATAAAAATAATAATCCCAGAGTTCATAACTATATAGGGCGGAAACCATATTGAAAGTGAGAGCGACAAAGGGAGCCGAGTTGTTTTAAGGGAAATTATGGCACACAAAGCTAGCATCTGCAGTCTTCACATTCCAAACCTCTTTCCAACAAATTCCCGGTCAGCACTTCAACTTTTCCTCAGATCATCCTACTTACGGCTATATGGTTTCCAATTCGGATCACAGCTGAAATAGATTCAAACCACCTAGTTGAAAAAGGGACAGCAGAGCTGATCACCACGGAGATGCCAGGAATGCCTAAAGATTTTGGCTAGAAAATTAAGTATAGTGTTGGAGGCCCAGATCAGTTAGTACAATGCAAGCCTCCCCCCAAAGCCATCTTGGAGACCGGACCCACAATCTCTGAGGCCCCAAGCCCAACCCCCAACGAGGTGAGGCCTTCTGGACAAGCCCTCAGGGCACTGCAATGACTCTTGTCCAGAATTCTCTCTAGCGAAAGCGCCGAATATCCCTACATTCCAAAAGCTATATGAACGATATTTCTACTAATCAGGCACCAACGAGTACGATAGTTATTATCATATCAACAGGCCGATAGAAGATCACTTACACCAAAACCCCAAAGATGTACTATACCGCAAGAGTCTCCCAATTTCTCTCATTTAGCAAGTCTTCTAAAATCCATAACCCCACTATGAGTCTACGGACCTCCGAGCCTCGGGCCCGACCTAAGGTTGCACTAACGAGTAACATCTAGACCCCTCACAATTGTGTTACCTCCATCCTTATCAAGCTACATTTATCGGATTGTGCGGAGATTCTGCACTACCACTACTGCGGGTTTTACATTGGGTAAGGATAAGTAACTATGTTTTAGTGCAAAATTGAGATAATGGGAAATCGTGAACAGCGTCATCACAACCCCACTAGCCGTCTCTAGCCGCGTGGGCAATATCTCTAATATTGACCCCGCATATGATACTCTATGTATCTTCCCTACTCCATCCTTAAGGTGTGCCCCTGTTTACTGCATACTATTCGCAAGTATCATTAGAAAATTGCATGCCTTTCCCCAGTTCTAGTTTATGGGAGAATGAGTTTGTTTCAGGCAAAAGGTCCTTTCCTTGGTATGATAGTTGATATCTGGTAGCGAGTATGAAATCATGACGAGATATTCCCACTCCCACTTCAATTGAAAAAAACAACGATTAAATGCGTATAAATGTAAAACCGCAAAGTGGTGACATGCGAGGGCATTATAAACTCCCCATCCTTATAATATATTTTCAAGATATGGCATTGGCCTTCAAACCCTATCGTCTGAGAGTTCCGCATTGCTAGCAGCTGAAACAGATATTAGCGAATAGATGGTGTTCACCAAACCCTGCTTATCTCCACACCCCAGCGCTCCCGTGCCCTAGGAGCTCACATATCTGTATTAAAGAGCACAGGGCCCAGAGAAGTGCGTGGATATCGTCTGAGGCCCCATTCTTCCATAACTCCCCCTCTTCGTAATACTGCTCCCCCAATTTTCCAAATCCCCCCGTTAGTTATGTGCCTGCTTTGCCCTCCGAGCCGACATTCACCCGCATTCAAAAAATTTATTCTACAATTGCCTTAACCTTCTCGAATCCATCAAGGCTCTTCGTCGCTAGCCAGTGGTCTAAATATCTCGTGCGTACAGACTGCAAACCACGGCCTAGGCAGCCTGAAAATGTCTACTCCCCATTCCCCCCTCCTATCATAATGCTTAAAAATATAGGCAAATACCTGCCCCAGTTTTCAGGAATAATTCATTGCCCCCAGCAATCTCAAATCACCGCTTAAAGGAGGCCGCCTCCCATGCTAGCGACAGGACCAGTGGCCCTATACTGACTCGGCGAGGTATACCATATATACTCAGAAGTAGTAAGTGCCTATATCCATAGGGTCATCCACAGTGGTAGAGCCATCCCTTATGGCTTATATATCATCATACCATCCCTAGATATCCTTCAACCCTCGTAGGAGCAGCACCACCTAACCACCACCGCCATCCGTAGGAGCTTTTCTGCCTTACCCATTTACCAGGTAGGCAATGATACCGCTAATGGCCGCCGAACAAAAATGGTAATTCCAATAGGACGTTTATACCCTGCGTGCATATACCTTCTATCGCATCCCAGTAAATGGATTCAACACAGCCAGTGATGAAAGTCCTCAACCACCCCAGCACTAGAGCCAATGACACCTCCCCACCTTCTACCCAAGCTTTGTCCCTCATAGGAAGCCCTGACTCTATTCGGCTGGTCAACTGGACCATGTCTATCGAGACCACCCCACAACCTAACGCACTTTCCCGAACATGCTAGTTTTTCAATAATATAGTACGTTGCGGTACCGTCGAACTACACCGTAGGGCACACTCACAACTAAGTTATGTCACAACACCAGCAAAAGGAATCTGTATCTTTTTTCTTTCCCCGATACCAGCCAAACGCCTGAATACGGTGCTTGTTTTTCCCGACACCAAGCCCGAGCTCTGATGTAATCCAGAGCAGACCGACCGGTATTAATCCGGACGCTTCCCCTTCGCCCAACCCCCCGAGGCCCAGGCTTCCTCCCCGTACTATCATACTGACACTTTGTTTCACCGCTCCAGATCTTCTTCCTGTCCCCTAAGCCATCATACACTAGCCTAGCCAACAAACTCTGTAATTTCACGATGAGAAACATTACGTTTTACAACGAATCTTATCATACGCTATATAAACTACCAGTTAAATCCTAAGGCATACCGAGTGACAGGTGATGCTTCTTGCATAGCGACAGACATATCAATCGGCCTCAGAAACTAGCAGACTTCCCATGACACCCCCTATCCAATATAGGGAATCCACCACACTACTCAATAAAGTAGATCACACCACATGCCTCTGAATGGGTGCCTCAATAAACGAAATTCTGGGGTATGTACGAGTACATCATCCTTCAGCTCAAGCGAAGAAAACACGATGGCTAACTAGCCATAGAAACCAACACAAGTGCCGCCCAATCGGCATTCCGGACCGGTGAGTCAGTAGACCCAAACGCGCTAATACCATCAGCATCAGTACACCAGACACTCGGGCCACAAGCAGCGATTTAACCTCTAGGAGAATCCTTCAGCAAAGGCAAGGCCCGTTCACCTACCCAGAGATAAATAAAACTATACCTCTAGTACCTCAAATTTATTTAGGCTTGCTTAATTCTGCTCCCCTAATGACGCCATGCGATGACAGAAGTCTACAAGCCAATTCGCTCATATTATTTCCTCAAAGCCTGAGGCAATAATTGCTCCAATATCCCGCTAAAGATGTGTCCTAAGCGGCGGCTCTTCCGTTAGCCACGCATCGGCAACTGCCGATCTTTACAAACGCGCAACTGAAACCTTTCTAACGCATGCCAAAATCCCAGTGGGCTAGTCTCTCTGCCCTCCCTCTCGGACATCCCACAGCACATCCAGGCGGAGAGCGCCTTCGGACAAAAAATACAACATTCGCCATTACGGCTTCGGCTAGGTTGTATCACCCCCGGGGACTGTTATCCTATCATAGCTAGAGGGTAATGGAGCTAATCACCCGTTAACCCAATCTACTCGAGTACCTATCCCGCCCCGCCATCAGATTGGAATGGGGTGGGAGGGGAACGGTCCGCTATCTGTGAGCAAGCATCTTTCCCCCTTTCCGCTTTGCTTTTTGCTGATGGCAAAAGCCTCTCTAGGGATTACCCGTAGTGTGGGGGGCGTTGGGTGTAGGGCTCGATACCAATGATTCAGAATGTAAGTTTCTCATTTCCCGGCAGTGTTGGTGACCCCCGGAACCTAAGGCTGCCGACCCTCTGCAACCCAGACTACCGGTATGCATTGTCAGGCTGACAAGGTGTGCCCTCACGCTCAGAATATGTCCTGTCCCTGTTTTTTATAGGCCCGGTGTTGTTGAAAAAAGTAAAGTCTTGTCTCTCATGACATGTGTTGGTCCCCGTTGTATCAGTTGAAGCAAGGTGCCATAGGAACCTTCCGTTACCTTGAGTTACGCGATAGGATACTCCGAGCCATTGCCGGTATCCCACGACAAAATCACGGCATGAGTAGGAAAAAATAAAAATGCTCCGTGCCCAGAATTTCGTCCCTCGTATACCAGCACC